GTACCACCAAGCAGGCCCTAATTTAAAAATAACCGGAAGTAATTTTTAAATAACCCTTATAAAGGTAACATTCCCAAGAAACATTGGCCCAGGTCTAACCAACACACTCAAGGCCACTCACACAGGAAGGGTGGGGCCCAAGTTGCTGTGTCATTCATCCTGCTTCTCTTGGTAAATATAGCTATTTGCGCAGTTCTCCGCCCTTTGAGAGGATGAAACTCTGAAGAGTCAGTGCTCTTCAAGACCACACCAGCGGAAAGCCCCTGGTGGATACTAAAATCAGCTGCTGGAAAGATGTGGCTGCAGATTTGATATTTAGTGTTCACCTCCTGACTCTGCTTCACACTAGCTTCCTAATCTCTCTGAGCCTCAATTTGTCCATCTGCTAAATGGGGCTCACCACTCATTCGTGGGGGTGTCTGGAGACTTCTACCTCATGGGGAATGTTTTCATGTTGGCCCTTTTGGAATTACAGTTCCACTGATCTCTCCCTGCCAGACTGAGTTTCTCTAGGGCAGGACCACGTCTTCTGTGCTCCTCACCCCTGGAACGCACACAAGACCTGATGTATAGACACACTGAATAAACCTTTGTTGCCTAAGAGCATATATCAGGCACCTATCAGATGCTGGATGCTGATTACTTTCTTTAACCTGAATTGGCTCCTGGGCAGATGGCTGAGGGCCAGGCAGGGCCCCCTCAGTGCTCTAGGAGGTTCAGGTCCTTGCAGCCGTCACTTTCAGTTCCTGAAATGGAAATTTCTTGAAGCACATTATGCAAGTGGGGCCTAGGGCAGCAGAATCACCCCAGCTCCAGTTCCTGGCATATCTGGTATAGCCACTGTTGCACAAGTTTCTGAGAACTGTAATAGAATGAATCTTGTGTTGCCACGAATGCCAGGGAAAACCTTCTCAGGGGTCATCCCTTGTTCCTGGAAAAGACAGCAACGTTCTTTTCCTTCCCAAGGTGGGGTCCCGCGCCGCTATCCTCCAGTCACTGCTGGGCCTGCACATGAGGCCAGAAGTCTCCATTAACAAAGAGGCCAACGCTTCCCCCAAGGAAGTTTTCATGAAGTAGGTTCCTCCTCACCTCCTTCTGTCCCCTCTCTATCCTGGGCTTTGCATTACTCCACTTCTGAGGGATCTCCCTTCTTCCTGAATCCTTCCACCCTGTCCCAGCTGAACATAGATGAGGTGGTACGTTCTGCTCCAAAATGGCACCTCTGCTTATGCCATCAAAACTCTCATTTCTTGAAATAAACCGAGCTTGTAAAAGGAAACTGTAGTCATATTAAAGTGTGGCCATAGGGGTGAAAGCGCTGAGACGTAACCCCTAGGCCACCAGGGGGACCCCATTCTGACTTTCTGCCAAACTTCACGGTGTGCTTTGACTTCTTTCTTCAAGCTCTATTCTGGGATTCCTTTTACAGTTCTTCCAAATTATGTTCATTTATCCACTTATTTCTTCTACGGTTTTTATTGAGCACCTACTCCATCGAAGTTACCGAGTAAGCACTGAGGATGCAATGTTGGCGCTGAATCAGACAGAATTCCTGTCCGTGGCCTTGCAAGAGAAACAGGCATCGATCCCACAAGTGGAAGAATAGTCAGGAAACGGAGCTAAATGCTCGGAAGGAAAGGAACACATATCTGGGCAACACGAGTGAGGGATGCGATGGTGAAAGAAGGCCTGAAGGAGAAGTGACAGTGTCCGTGGCGGCAGGTGCTGGTGCTGGTGGGGGTGGCGGTAATGATGGTGATGATGGAGTGAAGATGGAGGACAGTGATGCTGGAGTTGATGTCATGGTGACGGGGGTAGAAGCTTAGGATGGGGGAAGTGGAGGAGGTGGTGGTAATGGTGGTGGTGACAGAGGAGGGTGACTGTGGAGTTGATGGTGAAAGTGAGGCAGTGCAGCGGGGACTCTGGCAAGGGGGAGAGAAGGAACTGAGAGGGTCATCTTTGTGAACGATGAGGCCACCAGACTGTTGGAAGATCTTGCAGGAAGAGGACATCCATGAGCAGGTGCCAAAGTCTTCAAGTGGGAGGAAGATGAGAAGAGGGCAACATAGGAGGGCATGAGAGCAAATGGCCCAAGGAATTGGTTTTCTTACCAAAGAGGGAAACTGACAGGGATTCTCATTCATATTTGATGGGGGTGTGGGGTCCCTGGATCTGAAGATGCCCTTTGTGGAACATCTTGAAATATCCTGAAACCATGTTGCTAGTCCCGTCAAATACACTGAGAGTGGCAACTAATCACCTCCTGGTAACCTGCGTGGGTCGGAGCTGCTCCAAGGTCAATGGTGATTTACACAGTGAGATCTGAACAGTGACTGAAGGCTCAAAGCAACCAAAGCGAAGGGAGGGCAGAGCACACGGGCAGGACCCCAGGAGCAGGCTGGAAGCAAGGCGATGGCCGCTCAGGCTAGAAGTGGGGAGACAGGCAGCAGAAAAGGGGGAGCTGCCCTTAACAAGGGGAGGAGGGAAGGACTTGGCAACATTTTTTTGGCAAGTTTTTTCCTTAACCAATCAAATTTAGTTTTCTCAATGTTGACTTCTTAAAAAAATGTCCTAGAAAATTTTTGACTGCCAAAGAGATAATTCAGAGGTTTGGTTTGGTTTATGAATTAATATTTAACTTGCTAAGTCTACAAAGTTAAAATTCTTGACCTTAAGTTTTTAGGTTCAAGTAGCTATTTATGAATCCACCAAAATTAAAATATCATTTAAAAAGGTACTTTGGCGGGCCTCCCCGGTGGCGCAGCGGTTGAGTGCTGGGTTGCGAAGCTGCCTGCGGCCTCTGCGGTGCCGGTTCGATCCCCGGCTGCTCCCCGGCCACTGGAGGAGGGTCCCACATGGCGCACAGACCCCTCCTGCCGCCCGCTGCTCCCCTCAGCAGTGTACTTCCGTCCTTCTGCCTGCTCTGCTCCCCGTTCTGGCTCTGGTGAATTCTCTCACCCTCCCGCGCTTCTGACTGTACCCAGTGCTTGTATAAACAAAACAAACAAACAAACAAACCAGCAAACAAATAAATAAAGCATGCCTCTATTAAAAAAAAAAAAAAAAGAAGACTCTAATTAAAAAGGTACTTTGGCTTCTGTTTGCCCCATTCACTATCTTAGCCAATTAAACTTTGAAGTAGTTTAAATTGCATATATAATTGTACTATATTTGACATATTTTTAAGTGTCTCAGTTGTTTGACACATCAAAACTTTCCCTACATTATTAAATAACTCTTCCATATTCAACCAATACACTTATAAATATGGTGAACTTTAAGTTCTTTAAATGTTTCAACATATAAGGAATGTTTCAGACATGCTTTTACAAACGGAAAATTTTCAACTTAAAATCACAGCTGCAAATGAAGTACACATTTTAAATTAGAACAAGGAGCCTGACCTTAGAAAAATTCTTCCCCAAAGGTGACAAATCATTAAAACCCAGTATTCACAGATTCCTTAGCATAAAATATTTGTCGCAGAAATAAATTCTAGCCTTTTACCCAGGCAGAGGAAGAACAAGCGGTGCTTCAGAAATGGTGAGGTCAGGAGAAGCTTTTTACTCATGCATGAGGTCCCAGACCTGGGTAGCCCCGTAAGGTCTGAGCACCTGTCTTGCAACAAAGGGTTTCTGTTATCCACAACCATCTTACATTGATGACATCGGTTAGCAAGCACAACTATTTTCTGCAAAATTCTTGGACAAAGGGGGAAAGATGCAGGCCTTCGGGGATGGTCTTTGAGAGGTAAATCAGCTTGGTGGGATGTTCGACCTTGCTAAAATGTAACCTCGTTTAGATAAACTCAAACTTAGATGGAAAGCTCTCTAAGGAAAGATTTATTAAGTAAGTAAACTTGTTATTTACAATTGCATTGGATTATTTAGTGCACCAGGCCTATGAGTCATTAGCAGGGTGCTGGAAAGATTTATGTGCTTAGCAGTTCCCTGTCATATGAATGTAAATACTAGCTACAAGTCTTTCAGAGGTCCTATCTAGAAGCTGCATGGGCCAATTATGATTGGCCATACAATTGCCAGAGGACAGTAGGCTCCAGGCTTTGAAAGAATTTACCCACTTGTGGGAAGCCACTGTCCCTTCCCATATAACTTGGGGAATTCCTTCTTCGATAGTGGGCCAGTGCTAGCCACCTGGCAGCTGGCAATGTTCTCTCTGACCCTCACCTTGGCACACTGATGCCCAATCCTTACTGAGGATTAGGATGTGGAGTCAGGCAAGAGAAAGGAGCCTGGATTTGGGTCAAATTCTGGTTCCAATTTCAGTTCTCTCATTTACAAATTGCAACAGTATTTTCTATGTGCAGAGGAGCAGCAAGAAAGTGTCTTTAGCCTTCCATATGGATTTGTGAAGAACAAATGTGACTATGAAAATAAAGTGTAATTTATGGATGCTTTGGTGTCTGATTTGGAAAAAGTTTATTTCCCTTATAAGCATTTCTCACTGCCTGAGATAAACTAGTTTCTGTGGCCACAAGGAAAGCCAAGCTAAGACTGTTTCTGCAATCTCTTACATAGAGAATTGGGGATGGATTGGACCAAGAGAAGGATTTAGGTTCAAAACTACAGGTAAAGGGCCTCCCTGGTGGCGCAAGGGGTTCAGCACCGCCGCACTATGAAGCACTCCGCAGCCTCTGCAGCATGAGTTCGATCCCTGGCACAGCAGACCTCTCCTTTCTCGCCCGCTGCTCCCCTCAGCAGTATATCTCAGTGAGTCTGCCTGTTCTGCTCCCCACTCTGTCTCTGGTGAATCCTCTCACCCCCGCATCTCTGGCCTGTACCCCAACTCTTGTATGCATAAATAAATAAACCTAAAAAAAACCCAAAACAACACAGGTACAGTGGGAGCCCCGCAGACTTTCCCGGGGAGAACAGGGCTGGGCTGGAGAGGGAGCGCCACCAGGCTTTGCACAGGACCGGAAAAAACATCCCTTAGCCCTCTGCCTGTCGGGCAAAAATCTTCCTGTGTGGGTCTGAAGAGTGACGGGTCAGCTGTTCTAACAACAGCCTTGGAAGTAGACCCTGGAGGCATAAGGTCGGTGACTAAGCCTGCAAAGGCCGGACTTCCATCCCCCGAGGGCGCAGCTGGATGCAGCAGTGGAGCAGAAACACTTGCTTCGGGGTAAGGGGAGGTTTTGGATGCCGGACGTTTAAAAAAAAAAAAAAAGCAAACAACAAGCCCATCGCTGGGCTGCGGAGCCTTCTCCTCGGTTGTGAAATCCGGCGCTGCGCTTGGGAAAGTCCCCGCGGGAGCCTCTCGCCTCTCGCTTCTCCTTTCCTTGCCCCGCGACCCCCGGCCTCGCCGCCAGCGCCTCCCGGAGCCGGCCCCGAGCCAGCCCGAGGTCCCGGGGGCGCCCAGGGGCGCTGACCCGCCAGCCCGGCCCCGCCGCTCCGGCCTCCACGCGCGCATCTCCCGAAGCCCAGGGGCGGGGCGGCCGCGGCGGGTGGGGCGCTGCACCCCCTTTGCTGCCCCGGCGCGCTTGCCAGCGCCCCCCTCGGTCTGCGCTGCCGCGGGCCCGGGCGGAGACGGCTGGAAGGCGCGGCCCGAGGGCGCCCCGGGACCGTCGGGCCCCACGGAGCGCCGAGCCCGCTGCGCGCGCGGCGTCTCCCAGGCTCTGGCCGCGCAGGTGAGGAGGAGGGCGGGGGGCGACGCGGACGCTGGGGATCCCCGTTTTCAGCCGCACCCGGGGCCCCAGTGGGGTGGCTTAGATTTGCCTGGGGGGGGGGGCGGCCGCTCCCGGCTCCCCGAAGGGCTCTGCGCACCCTCCCCGCCGCCTGGGCCCCTTTGCTTAGAGCTGGAGTGACCAGGACCAGGTAAAGGAGTGACCGGGACCAGGTAAAAATGAGCAGGTGCGCCCTGCTGGTGGGGAGGGGGGGAGCTCGTGCTCCTCGAAAGGCTGGATTTCCGTCGCGGTGGCTCAGAAGTGGGATCTGCCCAGGACTTTGGACCTTTGACCCCAGCGGGACCAAGATGGTCTTCATCCTTAGTCTATGAGTCATGTTTCTCATGGGAAATTAACTTAGGGCCTCCCCGGTGGCGCAGCGGGTTGAGCGCATTGCTGGGAAGCCTCTGCAGCGCAGTTTCCATTCCTGGCTGGCCCGGGAGACACCCACATGGCGCGGCAGACCTCTCCTGGCTCCCCTGCTGCTCCCCGCAACAGTGTATTTCAGTCAATCTGCCTGTTCTGCTCCCCACTCTGTCTCTGGTGAATCCCCCATCCCCCACACCTCTGGCCTGTTCCCCAGCTCTTATATAAAAATAAATAAGTCTTTTTTAAAAATTAACTTAAAGCATTTAAGTAGGGACACGTTCATTAAATTAAGGGTGTTTTGAAGTTTCCCCTTATAACTCCTTCTACTTCTTATAAATGACTACCTTTGTTTGGAACTTGGATGCAAGTCAGGATTGTGTTTTTCCAGCTGAGAGAGAAATTGTTCCGGGTGTAAACAATTCAGCTGGCTGAGATGGTTCTAGTGTTGCAGGTCTTACCTGGACTGAGGCAAACTCAAACCTTTACAGACGGGCCACTGGTGGGTAGGGTGACCTGTCTTGAAAGTTGAGATCAAAAAAAGGAAATGGCAAATATTGTGACTCTGAAATCTCACCAGTATTTTAAGTTTCTTCCTGTTCTAGACAAGAGAACTTTGCAACTTTAAACTTTTTACAATGCACGCATTTTATGAAAATTGCCAGAGGTTGACAGTGTGCTGTTAAAGTTTTTTAGCTGTTGGTTCATTTCTTGCATTATTCTAGTTAAGAATTTGGCATGGTTGGTTAAGTATCTTGTTTTGACTTTAGTGAGTGTGCCTGATTTTCACTCATGTAGGGCTTACAGATGATTTGGTTTTGTGAACTTCGTAGAGTGTAATCACACCAACCTGCCTGATCTACCTGCTATACCTGGGCTCAGGGGTAGCCTGTTGGGAACACTGGTGTAGAAGTGGCTCATCCTTAACCTTATTAATGTAGAGCCTCAGTACTGGGTTGTATGTGGCAGCCTGGGGGTGACTCTTAAAGATCTACTCATAATGTGAGTTGTATTCATTCCTTCCAAAAAGTAGACTTGCTATAAACTTACATTTATTTCCCCACCTCATCATTTAAATTTCACATTATTTCTTCCTCATTCAAAGTGTCCACATCTGAGTTTTTGATTGCTAAGAACAGAATGTTTAGATTCTTTCCCTGCCCCCCACTAATTAAAAACAACAACAAACACCCCCAAGCATTGCTTATGCTGTGTACTCAACAGGTTCCTCGTCCATGTTACTGAAGAACTTAAATCTTTCTATGAAGGGCCATGGACAAAAATTTTTTTTTAGTTTTTGAATGTCTGCAAAATGTCCATCCTACTTTTGCCTTTTATTGATAATTTAAAGGTGATAAACTTATAGATTGACAGGTGTTTTTTATCTTAGCTCTTTGAGGGTATTATTCTATTGTACTTGGGCTAGGAGAGAAATCTTTCATCTTTTCTTTTTTTTTTTTTTGCTTGGGATTAAATAGACATTTATAATCGGGGAACTTGGATTTTTCTTCAGTTCTGAAAAATTCTTAATTATTCTATCTTTTAATATTTAAATTCACACCAGCACATGTGGCAAGCTGCATGGGTTCTGATTTCTGACAGGAGATTTTCGAGTGACTGGACCACTCAGTCAACAATCTGATTTCTTTCTTTCTTTTTTTAAAGATTTATTTATTTATGCATACAAGAACTGTGTACAGGCCAGAGGTGCAGGAGGTGAGAGGATTCACCAGAGACAGAGCGGGGAACAGAACAGGCAGACAGACGAAGTACACCGCTGAGGGGAGCAGCGGGCGGCAGGAGAGGTCTCCTGCGCCATGTGGGTAGATCCCCCCCTGCAGATAGCTTCATAGGTTGTGTCTTAACCCCTTGTGCCACCAGGGAGGCCCAACGATCTGATTTCTTTAAGCAGATGATTTTTATTCTTTTTCCAGACCCACAACTCTCTTCTGCTGTGGCTCTACTTAGCCTAATTTTAGCCATTGTCCTTCCCATTCTCGATGTCATTGAGGAATTCTCAGCCCCACAGAGGGGGGAAATGGGAAGAGAGAGAACTAATTCTGATACTTTGTTTTCGGAGAGTTAATGTAGTAAGCAAACACAAAGGAATACAGATGCAAGCAACGAGAGAGCCCAACAGAGCTAAAGAAGGAACAGGGTCCAGAAATGGAGAGAGGAACTGCTGGATGGAGAGAGAGGAAAATAGCTGGGATGGAGCATGTGCAGATGGTTTGACTTCCCCACAGTCATCTGAACAGCCCAGGCAGATGTGAGCATTGCTTTCTGCCCTGAAAGCTCTGCAGGAAGAGAAGTATCTGCTGGCCTGACTTCCCCTCAGCCCAGCAAAGCACCTGCTTGTAGGAGGTGCATGACAATGTTGAGGAACAGGGTTCTTTTCCTTTTGGTCAAAGAGCAGCCTGCTCCCTGCGAGTCCAGAGCCTTCCATTCGAAAACCTCCATATTACTTGAACTAGAAAATTAATACTAAGGTTGAAAGGGAAAAATCAGAAAGGGCCACAGATGAACAGCTTAACTTTGACTCCTTAGTCTGCAATGACCCTTGCAGATTGATACCCAGAACATTCTTCTGAAGAGCTGTCATCCCACTAAGGCGCTGGTGGGAGCCTTGAGTCAAACACCATGCAGAGGTAGGGATCAGAAACAGGCAGAGCAAAAATAAAAGCAAGTGAGCAAACCAATAGCTGCTCCTGGAGCTGCATTCAGTGAACTGAGGTCCACGGGAGGAGGCTGGAGGCAGGGAAGATGCTGCTTAAATAGCAGGAGGTTTAAATAGCAAGTAGGGGTCGGTAATTGCCAGTCCATGTGGTTGAGCCTCACCCACTTCTTAAATGGCTTGCTCGTTCTTTCCTCCATATATTCACTAACTCATTCTTTCTACCCATATTTTGTTTTGTTACTTAAAATAAAGAAACCCCCCAATCTCTCATATTTCCTTGTTCCTCTCTTCCCCCTTCCTGTTAACCTCAGAGCCATCACCACGTGGCATTTATTCATGTCCACTAGTTTTTGTAAGTATTTTACTTTATCAAATCATCTGCTAGGTAAATATCCAGTATTTGTCATTCTGACTTGCTTTACTCTACAAAATTCCCTCAAATGCCCTCTACTTAGTATTTCATCTTTCTTTATGGCTGAATAGTATTCCACAGTGTGGACGTACCACGTCTTTCAGCCCACGTTTATTAAGTCCTGCTGTGTACTCCCAGATGGTCTTGTGCTTTCTAGCCATGGTGTGGTGCAGAGAATCTGTGTGAGTGCTGTTGAGTGTATCAGGAATTGAGGTTTATCTGCAGTCATATATTCCATTAGCTAACCTGAGGCTAACTCTGTGTGTGTTATGTCTCATGTTTCTCAAGAACTGGAATTTTGATGAGCTGTCAAACACAATCACTTATTTGAATCTCTTTACCTGTAGGTTGAATCACTGGACAATGCTACATATTTTGTGGACAGTGTGGGTCTTGGGGACCCTTATCAACCTCTCCCAGGAAGAGTCCTCTGATCAGGCTGCTTCTCTGTCTTGCGAGCCCACTGGTGCCTGTGATGGCTACTCTAGATCTTTGACCTCCATCCCCTCTGGGCTCACAGACACTGTGAAAAGCCTTGACCTGTCCAACAACAAGATAACGTATGTGAGCAATGTCGACCTGCAGAGGTGTGTGAACTTGAAGGTCCTGAAGCTGGGGGCCAACAGAATTAACACAATAGAGGAAGATTCTTTTTGTTCCCTGGAGAGTCTCGAATATTTGGATTTATCCTATAATCAGTTATTTAATTTATCATCCTCCTGGTTCAAGCCCCTTTCTTCCTTGAAATTGTTAAACTTACTGGGAAATCCTTACAACACACTTGGGGAAACATCTCTTTTTTCTCCCCTCACAAATTTGCAAATCCTGAGAGTAGGGAATATTGATGCCTTCACTCAGATTCAGAAAAAGGACTTTGCTGGACTATCTTCTCTTGAGGAACTTGAGATTGATGCTTCCAATCTCCAGAGGTACGAGCCAAAGAGTTTGAAGATCATTCAGAACATCCGCCACCTGATCCTTCAAATGAGGCAGTCTGTCTTCCTGCTGGAGATTTTTGTGGATATTTTGAGTTCCTTGGAATATCTGGAACTGAGAAAGACTGATTTGAACACTTTCCACTTTTCAAAACTATCCATCAGCGAAACCAACCCAGTGATGAAAAAGTTTACCTTTAGCAATGTGGAACTCAGCGATGAAAGTTTCACCCCCATTGTGAGACTGCTGAATTATGTTCCTACATTGTCAGAAGTCCAGTTCGACCGCTGTACCCTTAATGGACTTGGTGATTTTAGCACCCCTGCTATGGACCAAATCAAAGACCCGGGTAACATAGAGACATTAACAATACGGAGCTTGCATATCCCACAGTTTTTCTCATTTTATGACCTCAGTAGTGTCTATTCCCTTACAGGAAGAGTTAAAAGAGTCACCATCGAAAACAGTAGGGTTTTTCTGGTTCCTTGTTCACTTTCACAACATCTGAAGTCACTAGAATATTTTGATCTCAGTGACAATTTAATGGTTGAAGAAAACTTGGAACACTCAGCCTGTGAGCATGCCTGGCCCTCCCTAAAAACCTTCATTTTAAGGCAAAATAGCTTGAAATTCCTAGAAAGAACAGGAAAAATTTTGCTTACACTGAAAAACCTGACTAGCCTGGACATCAGTAAGAACAGTTTTCCTTACATGCCTGAAACTTGTCAGTGGCCAGAAAAGATGAAATATTTGAACTTGTCGAGCACGAGACTCAACAGAGTAACTGGCTGCATCCCCCGGACTCTGGAAGTTTTAGATATCAGCAATAACAACCTCGATTCTTTCGCTCTGCTTCTGCCCCAACTCCAGGAACTTTACATTTCTAGGAACAAGTTAAAGATGCTGCCAGCTGCTTCCTTCTTACCCTCATTACAAGTCTTGAGAATCAGCAGGAATATAATCAATACCTTCTCTCAGGAGCAACTGGATTCTTTTGAAAACCTGAAAACTTTGGAAGCTGGTGAAAACAACTTCATTTGCTCCTGCGAGTTCCTGTCTTTCACGCAGGAGCAACAGGCCCTGGCGGGGGTGCTGGTTGACTGGCCGCAGGGCTACCTGTGCGACTCCCCATCACAGGTGCGGGGTCAGCGGGTCCAGAACGCTCGGCTCCCGCTGTCTCAGTGTCACAGGGCAGCCCTCGTGTCCGCCGTGTGCTGCACGCTCTTCCTCTTGGTCCTGCTCACGGCGGTTCTGTGCCACCGCTTCCACGGCCTGTGGTACCTGAGAATGACATGGGCCTGGCTCCAGGCCAAAAGGAAGCCCTGCAAAGCTGCCCCCCGGGACCTTTGCTACGACGCCTTTGTATCTTACAGCGAACAGGATGCCTACTGGGTGGAGAACCTGCTGGTCCAGGAGCTGGAGCACTTCGACCCCCCCTTTAAGCTGTGTCTTCACAAGCGGGACTTTGTTCCTGGCAAATGGATTATTGATAACATCATCGACTCCATCGAGAAGAGCCACAAAACCATCTTTGTGCTGTCGGAAAACTTTGTCAAGAGCGAATGGTGCAAGTACGAACTGGACTTCTCGCATTTTCGGCTCTTTGATGAGAACAATGATGCCTCCATTCTCATTCTGCTGGAGCCCATCGAGAAGCGGGCCATCCCCCAGCGCTTCTGCAAGCTGCGGAAGGTCATGAACACCAAGACCTACCTGGAGTGGCCCCTGCAGGAAGCTCAGCAAGAAGGCTTCTGGCAAAATCTGAGAACTGCCATCAGGTCTTAAGGCCTCCCTGCAAGGCCCCAGCAGCCTGTCCTTCTGTGGCCGGTGGTGACCGGGGTTCTGACACAATTGCTTGTCAACCACACGATGTACTGGCATTGGGAGTCTCTTACTGAAACCATTAACACTTGTGATTTTATCTAGAGTGCTGTTTTATAAAAAACTGCTACCAGGCTGAAAAAGTGGTTTTGTTGTTTTTTTCCCCCCTGAGACAGGCATGATCCAAGCCCCTTGTGGATACCTGAATTATCTGTGGTCATCGATACGGTTCACTGGGGAATAGCATGAAGGAGCAGATTTCAAATGAACGCGTGGTACAGCTCTCTGACCTGCTTGCCCAGGGCATTCTCTTCCTCTCTGTGAAGCTGCTCTCAGGACAAACAGGAAACATGTACATGTCACTCAGTCAAACTTGTTGCTACTTATGGAAAAATGTGTGTGCCTGTCTTACGCTTTACAGTATATCAAATACCTGGAGGTATTTTTCATGTCAGCTGCATCTATGTCTGTTTTAGAAGGTTCTAAAAGTTACTATCATGGAGTTGTCCATAAAGGAGAATGTCAGATACATCAGAGATCAATTTCAGGGTTCCTTCTTAATTTTCGTGCTTTATCCAAAGGTAAGGTAAGGTCTTTTGTCAACAGACTTGTTGACAAGAATCTTGTTTCATTTCTTTAAACTTTGCCCATGCCGCATATGTAATAATCATTGAATTGTTGAATGTTTGCTGAGCTGAGAAGTAAATGAGTTAAATAATCTGGATGGGGACCAGTTGTAGTACCGAAACATCGAGCAGTTTCTACCAATAGGCAGAAATCTTAGTGTGAGTTTTTCCGTTACAATTGTGATGGAAATTTCTAAATCCAATTTTATTGATTTACCACCTATTAACAAAACTATATATTTTGGGGGTACAGCTTTAGACCTCAATACATGCTTGTATTTTACTCACCTATCACATATCACACTATCAATTTGACCCCTTCTACCCATTCCTCTTTCCGCTTCCCCTTCCCCGCTGGTGACTCCCATATTTTTCACAATATCTAAGACTTCTTTTTATTGTGTTCTGCCGGTTTTGCTTTGGTTATTTATATTTTACATATGAGTGAAATTGTGTAGTATTTGTCTTTGACCTTCTAACTTATTTCACTTAGCATACTCCCCTTAAGTTCCATCCACTTGTGGCAAATGGCAACATTTCATCTTTTTTAATAGCTGAGTAGTATTCCATTGTATGTATACACCACAACTTCTTCTTCCAATCAGTGATGGACACTAAATAGCATTTAGTGCGTTGACCATATTTTGGACAATAGGTGGGCGTCCTCTCTGTGTCAAGTAAACACAATGTCTTCAATGACTGCAGAATCGATGTTGAGTGTTATGTATACAGCACTAGCTGCTTATCAAGTGACTGACTTAAAATCATTTTGGGAATCCAACATGTCATTCCAACATGAATACTTTCTGACGGGTCTTTTTTATTTAGTTAGTTGGTTTTCTTCCTTCCTGCTAAATAAATTCATCCTTTTGGCAAATCTATATTGAATGCCTAGGCTATGACATGCACTTCTCCAAGTGCTGATATAGTAGGAACAAAGCAGATCGTGTTCCTTGCCTGTGTGGAGGGTAAGACAAACAATAAATAATGAGCAAATGTGTCTGTGATAGGGGTTCAGGCATTGAGAGGTGCTACATAGAAAATGAAAGCAAGGTATTGCAATGTGTGTGTGTGTGTGTGTGTGTGTGAAGGGCTATAAAGGGCTGAGTGCATTGGCAGCTTTAGGAAACACAGTGGAACTCTGACCCATCAAGGGGGCGGTGGCACTTGTTCTAGAGGTTTCAGGAATAATCCTCTCCCACAGAAGGGCTTTGGTGGTACCTAAGCTGCCAAGTGAAACAAGTATAAAGAGCACAAAAGTCCAGATCCTTAAGCCATAGGTTATTTAAACACACTGCCTACTTTGAAGATGTTGAACTGATGGGAAGGGATTAGTTATAACTAAATATTGTATGCGAGCACTTTGCAAACCTCTGAAATACTTTACAGATGAGATCTTGGCCAGCCAGACCAGAGGTTGGATGCCCGTGATGGGTTCTAACAAATGTGTCGCATGCATGAATTAGAAAATGATTGTAATGGAAAGAAGCCAAGGACACTTTATTGGTTTATTCCATCATTCAGCTTCCCTTTAAATTCTTTCCACATAGACAAATTGCCATATGTAGGACATCAAACTAAACTCTTGGGATCATCTCTAAAATTTAAAAAAGAATATCAATATTAAATAGAGGACCAAGAATGTAAAAATATTTCAGCATGCAATCCATTGCTGCTGGAGCAAGTCTGCTATACTATTCCAGCCCGAGGGAATAGTTAATGCCTTGAACTACTCCTATCACCACGGGTTGCCAGGCCACCAAATAACGAAGCCAATCCAGGATCTGTCCGTATAAAATGTGTGTGCGCTCCCAGCTAAGTCTCAGTTAAGGAAGTTACTCTGTACATCCCAGTAGCAGAAATCTTCATAAATGTAATTTGCAAATATAGAAGCAGCACCATTTGTAGGCATTGCCTTTCTTGTCAATTCTAGACATTCATTTAGAAGCCTCTGGCATGATTTTTATAGTATTTGCTTATCATCGCTATTTACATGACATCTAATTTCCAAACATATTGACAGCTTACAATAAAATCCCAAAAGTTAAAATAAGAATAAAAGGCAAGGGTTATATACTAAAAGGTAAGGGGACAGGGGACTGACAACCTTAGAGGGGCAGCCAGGACGGGGCACCCCGCAGAGGGAACACATCATCCCCCAGACCCTGAGTTCACAGCTAAGACACTCCCATTCTGGGTCTTTAACTTGTGCCAAGGGGACTTCATTAATAATATCTCTGCAGGTGATTCAGATGCAGCTTTTTCTCTTACTGAGTCTCAATAAAGAGTACAGGTAACATTCAAATGTTTCTCCAGACTATAGAAGGATGCAAACTGTCCTTTGTCAGTTAAGTGATCATTTGAGGTGACAGTGATGATCATAGTATCACATATTATCAATTTTATAGCAAAGGGTTATATGCTGCTGGTTTATAACTTATTTATTAGCCAAAAGTGGTTCTGAACTCTGTTTCACATTAGAGGGGAGATTCAAGGAGAGTGGATGATAAGGGGGAAGGAGCATCTCAACCCATTTGCCTTGGGATGTGCTGAGCTGCCTGGTGGCCGCAGAGGGCACACTGTGCAGTGGCCGGGCTGAGACCTGCAGACTGTCAGTCCACTGTGCCTCTGCTGTCCCGCCTGTTCAGAGGCAGCTTTGGGGCCCAGCCCATGCCAACACCCCACAATAGTGGTGGTGAGGGGAGCAGGAACAGGGGTGCGTCTCCTTTAGCATGGTAAAATGTAGGTGACTTTTACTCAGAGTAACAAAGCTGCCTATGGGGAGAAAAGAGTCATGCTGTTCTTAAGGGGGAGGGTGTGTTTTAATCCTATTTTCTCCCCTGGAATAGACAGGCTATATAGTCTGGAGGTTGAACCTTCCTTGCCATTCTGGACAGGGTCATTACCTTCCTATGACCTTGAGGTTTGGATTTATTCACTTGGGGATCCCTGTTGTCTACAGAATTCCTATCTGCTACCACAAGCTAACAAGGTTCTATCTTTGTTTCCTTTCACTATTACTCTTGCTCAGGTATAGCCTAAGATGAGACAAGACAAGGAGTTTGAAAATCCAAAATCCAAGAGGGAAAACCCTACTCACACATGGAGAAGACCAAGTTGACATACCCTCAGAATACTCTGCTGTGCTCTAGTTTGTATTTGGGCCTTCAAAACTTTTAATTCCTGCTTATGTATTTACTCACTACACTCCCCAACCCCCCATGTTGTCTGTCTATATCTGCCATCTACTTATACATATTTAACTTTCCACATATTTAACTATCTTTTGCACTCTCACATTTCCACTAAAGCCCTTATCGTGGAATATCTGGACTATAAAGAGTAGAACACATCTGCTTTGGCATTTACTTCCTAAATTCTCTTCTTTCCAGAGAGTTCCATAGACACAGGGGACCAAAAAGACCATTACACTGTTTGGAAATAGGTGGTTAGGAAAAACTTATTACTGATAAAAACCAGTTTTTTATTTTTCTTTTAAAACAATTTAGACTGAAAAATTCATCATCAGAAACTATTGAGATAATATTTGTAATGTTTTAAAAAAGGATACGGGTTACTGATCATCCTCTTCAAATCAACCTTCTCTTTGCAGTAAGGGCAAGTCTGCTTTTTACCAACAATACACCAACCTCGGATGCAGAATTCGTGAAAGCTTAGACGTATTGTTAGGGAACCTTCTGGATATTAAGGGCAGTGTCTGCTTCATGATGATGTAATGGAAATGATCCAGTTTCGGGGGCAGTGGGGGCTGTCAGTCATAACTGACTATGCACAACACTTTTCTAGGGAGATCTTGTAGCACCATGGAACCCCCAAGGTCAGTGAACTTGGAATCAAAGCTGCTATAGCTTTAGGACCCTGAGGGACTTAAGCTTCTTTGTCTTACTTGTTCTTCTTGCCTCATTTGATTCTCATAAGAATTAAATTAGTTAAAGAATGTGAAAGAGAATTTTACAGTGCTGTCTGTATAAATAAATCACTGCATTTCCCCATCTCATTGTGCATTTCTTGTACATTTCCCAATTCTTCATTTTGTGCATTACTCATTGCTTAGATAAGTTTATTTGTGGTCATAAACTTACACATATTTCTATTAGTGTCTCAATATTGGAGTGTTTTTCCTCAAACATTTTAAATTATTGATAATAGGCAGTTATTTTTAACAGAATATAAGCTTAATTAACTTCAGAAACTCTAGGCATTTACAAATCCATTTGTAGGCATCCTCTTGTGCAGAAAGCGGGACCCTTTGTCCCCAAGGTTGAGAATGAAACCCCAGCACCAAGGACTGTTACTAGAGCATATGTCATGCTCTATTGTAACTTTCTGTGAGCTTACGAGTCTCCCTTTGCCTTGTGCTACTGTGAGATTGTGTCTTACTCATCTCTGTCCTCAGGCCCTAGATACCTAAAAATGGACTAATCACTGAAAACGGATTGCTTTCTCAAATATGTTTCCCCAGGTTCTACAACATGGTAAATTTGGGACAGTGATTAACTATAATGAGTTTCATCCTGTTATTTGCTTATTTCTACCATGGTTGATCCCCCTGTGGTTTCCTGGATCAAGATCACGTATTCTCACGACTGTACTGAACACACACCCTTGAACAGCAAGGATGTGTCAAGCCTCACCTAACAAAAGGGGGAGCTTGGTGGTGTAGACAAGTCAAGTCCATGTTTTTGACTCCTCAATATGTGCAACTAAGAGCTTCCACTATTTTATATTCCTGGAATTGAGATCAATTTGTAATATGCTTGACAACATAAGGTGGTAGGTTATAATACAGCTTTGAAGCAAAACCTATATAGCCCTTCATTGCGTAGGGCTGGAGTACAGCCTCGTCTTCCAAATAGGTATGTAGTTCAGGGTCACAGAGCTGGCACTGAAAGGTCCAACTCTTGTTTAACCCTCTCTTTCGTCTTCAGTCTCGATCTGAATGGCCCCCACAATGGCAGGATCGCCACAGAGCAATGCTCGGGTTACTGGTTAATATGACTGGTTAATATGACTCATGTTTGCCCACGCCTCACTCCTATGACTCATGCTAAAATGGGTCATTAATAATACTCCCTGCAGAGCAAATTTCAAGGTGGCTATATTTCAGATTACATATGCACCATTTACAACAATCCCTAAGGGCTTTTAAAAGTGGAGAGAGAAAATATTTCCACTTGCAAATGGCAGAAGCGGCGCTGTTCCAACTTTTTGAAAAGTAAATCATATTTAAAATGAGGGCCAGACTTGCAAAATTTCTAAGAGTGATAGATTTTGGGAATGGTATCACACTGAAAAGCCATAGTATTCCATATGGGTATCGTGGTGTTCCTTATTTTGAAATGTTAAGGCTTTAAGTATTAGGCGAAGGGTTCCTGGGATATTTCAGATGCATTCAGCCGAGTTTTTTACTCTCAGGATTGAATAAATGGATTCTGTCCAAATTAAACAGAATTGAATCACAGCCTCTGAACATCTAGGTTTTACTGATGGAAGTAGGTGGCTTCAGAGGCAAAAGACAGATGGTTTAACCACCTCATCCTGCCAAACCTTTGAAATGACTGAGCATACAGCAATATTTTAAAATTGATATTGTACTATAAAGCAAAGACAAATGATGTCCTTTTTTCTATTCAGATAAAAATAAAATCTTGACTGTGGGCCAACCCAAACACACAGGTATCCAGAGCGCACCCTCTGCTTTCTCCAGGCTCCTGATCTCAGCATAGTTGGGGTCTTTCTGATTTCTGGAGTTTCCAGAGAATGCTGACTTCTAGGTCCAGGCTTGTCTGTCTCTCATACCTAAAGATCCCTCAGCTAATAGAGGACTCTTTGGGACAGAACCCACAGGCAGAGGAGTCAAATGGTCTGAGAACTCGGTCCTCCAGTTTTGGCCCCGCCCTTCTGCCTGCGAGCTCCCCTCTCTTCAAGACCCAAGCTGGTATCTGGCTGCCCGCACCACGGCTGAGGGCATGAAACTATGCACTATGCAGAGGGTTATTTGTAGGTAAAGCACACTTTCCTGTCCTTGGTTCCATGAGAGACAGACACCTGAGCGAGTGACCTGCGTTCTTCTGAGTGCCTGGAACGTCACTCTTGTTCTGGCCGCCAAGCCTCCTCTCTCCCACCCTTTCTTAGCTCTGGGTTCACTTACGGTTTCACCAACTTTCCCACCCAGGGTCCTGCACATGTGCGACAGCCTTCCTGTCAGGGCAGCAGTGAGACTCCTTTTTAAAAGAGGAAATGGCTGGAGGAGGAGGCTCTCTTCTAGCACTTCTTATGCAACAGGGATTACCAGGACTTCTCGAGAGAAAGATGCCCAGGAGGATGGGATGCTCAGCAGGCAGAGGGGTGGGGAGCTCAGCAGGCAGAGGGGTTGGGAGCTCAGCAGGCAGAGGGGTTGGGGGCTCAGCAGGCAGAGGGGTTGGGATGCGTAGAGGACTGACAGGGCGGAGGCGTGGGCAGAGGGTGATGAGCTGGTTTTCCCTGACTTGCCATCTCCCATCTCAGCACAGATCCCTTGAAAATGGCCTCCTGGCACTGGTATGATGAGCCCGAAGGGTTCCGAGAAAAGGATACACGTGCCTGCAGGAGAGCTGGTAGGTGTTTTCAATGAGCCCTTCTTCCTCAAGCTCCACTATGATCCTCTGCCCACAGACAGCGCATATGTTGTCCGCCAGGCTCCTCGTGGGCATCCCGCTGACGCTGTAGAACTGGGGGGGGGGGGGAAGGCCAGGGCAGCGTGGGGGCAGCAGGAGCTCTTCTCTGACCCGGGGAAGCCTGCCAGGTGTGGGGCACCTGTCCCTGTCAGAGTCCTTCCTGCTTCTTTGTTGGCTTGAAAGATTTTGTTTCCAGGGCAGGAAGCTGCCATGAGGTTAAGGTTCCCAGACAAAAACCCACTGACTCCAAGGGGCCTAGAGCACACTGCGAGTGTAACCTCCAGCCTAGCCCTGGCATCGAGGAGTCCTTCAAGAGCAGACGTTTTATCCAGGGCAGTAGTTCAGAACCACACAGGAAGTTTTTTTAAGTTTACCCAGAGCTTGACCCTTCCCTTTATTGTCCTGGAAATTCTGATTCAGCAATTTGGAGAAAAATTTTAAATTCCCTAGTGATGATAGGGAACGCCAGGCTAATCCCACTCGGAGGCGAAGCTTTCAGAAACCTAAGTTGGGAGACCCGCATCTTCCTAATGTTGGCACCATGTTAGAATCCCTACAAAGCATATTTTATTTTGTTTTATTTTTTTAAGATTTATTTATTTATGCATACAAGAGCTGAGGTACAGGCCAGAGGTGTGGGGGGTGAGAGAATTCACCAGAGACACAGTGGGGATTGACCGAAGTACACTGCTGAGGGGAACAGCAGGCAAGTCAGGAGAGGTCTGCTGCACCATGTGGTTATCTCCCCGGCCGGGGATCGAACTCATGCTACAGAGGCTGCGAATTGCTTCATAGTGCGGTGCTTAACCCCCTGCGCCACCAGGAGGCCCCCAAAGTGTATTTTAAAAATAAAACATTTACTTAAAAACAATTTTAGACTTAAAGTGAAGGTATGAAGACAGCAGAATCCCCATATACCACCCAGCTCACCTATTAACATCTTCTATTGTACCACACATTTATCATAATTAATGACCAGCATTGATAGACTGTTATGAACTAGAGCACATACTTTATTCAGGTTACTGAGTTTTAACCTAATGTCCTTATTTTGCTTCAGAATCCCATCCAGGATATCATTTAAATGTCATGTCTCCTTAAGCTTCAAACAGTACGTAGCCTTTCAGACTGGCTTCTTTCGCTTAGTAATATGTATTTACGACTCATCCTTATTTTTGCATGCCTTGACAGCTCATTCCATTTTCGTAGGGAGCTTTTAAGACAAAGCAGATGCACTGGCTTTACTCCCAGAGATTCGGATTTAATTAGTCTGGTGTGGAGCTTAGGCCCTGGTGTGAGGATGGAGATTGCTCCTCCTGTCCTCTGCCACAAGCACATGCACAAGTGAGCACACAGACATACACTCATCACCACCACCATCATCACCAGCGGCTGTGCCAATGATGTGAGGCTGTGGGTTTTATGTATTTGGTGATATAAGATGACGGTATGACAAGATGTTAAAACTAGTGGGGTGGATCAGGTAAGAAGTCTCTAGAAAGATGGTGCTTAAAGTCTTGGTTTCAGGCCTCCCTGGTGGCACAGGGGTTAAAGTCTCAGCACTATCAAGCTTTCACCAGCCACTGCAGCCTGATTTCAATCCGTGCCAGGCAGCTGACCCACATGGCACAGCAGACCTCTCCTGTCTCGCCCGCTGCTCCCCTCAGCAGTGTATTTCAGTCAATCTGCCTGTTCTGCTCCCCTCTCTGTCTCTGGTGAATCCTCTCACCCCCCACACCTCTGACCTATACCCCAGATCTTGCATGTATAAATAAATAAAAATAAATCTTAAAAAAAAATTGTTAAAATGGTAACTTAAAAAAAAAAACAGATTTGTTTTCCTTGTCAAATTGCATCTCCTCCTGCCTCACTGGCAAATGGAGGGCATACAGCTCTTTTTTTTTTTCAAGTACAAGAATATTTGGATATTTTTTAAGAGGGATGGGCTGCTACTTTTTGATGGAGGAAATGGAATGAAAATGCTCCCTTTGTGCTCACCTTAAACCTTATAAGAAAGGCAATCATCCAATAATTGACACATGGCAGGAGACTTCCAAAAGGCTTGTTGATCCAGCACTGTACCACATGAAGTGGATTCCAAGCTCCAGGAAAAGAGTATGACAGAGCTGACAGGGTGGACTAACAGATGGAGTGGGGATAAAGTCAAGTTCATGTCCACTTAGTCCTGCCGCTAAGTGGAGAGAGAAAACAGTCCAGAAGTTCACTCCTCTCTTGCCACTTACACAAGTTTTTCCATTTCATATCTGGCCGTGCACCAAGAGATTAGTGGAGGACAAAGATGTGGAATTCCTGAAGCCAGTGGGTCATCCCTAGAGCCCTTGGTTTCTAAGTTTTTAAGAGATGTGCATGTGTCAGACACAGATGAATGCTCTTAATATATGAATCTGGAATCCATCTAACCAAAAAATATGTCTATTCTGAATTTTAATTTTAAGAGAGTTAAAAAAAAAGCTACTAGGGATTTTTTTTTTTAATTCCAGAGAACAATATACAGTCGGAATACATTCTATACCCTTTCATAACTTCTAATTTTCAGATGCTGTGACAACTGATTTTTATGATATGCTACCTTGAGGCACTGATTGAGACTAAAGTGTTTTATGTAGAGTCAAATAGGACTTTTATCTGCATTAGGCAGTGTTGCAGGCAGAGGTAAAGGGTTTTGTTATTGTTGAATTTTTACTGATCCTTTCAGTGTTGGCAATTGGAGCATACTGCATAGGGTAACTTTCAGATAATTAGGTTATTCTACTTTAAAATAGATCTTATTTCCCAGCCACTTCATATGAATAAGAAATGTATTTTCTAATGACTTAGCAGAGACAATTTTTGATGCAAGGAGAATCCAGAGAGCAAATGGGCTGGGAGCACCAAACGGCACATCTTTTTCTGCACGTGGAATGCAAGTGTGTAAGATGAGACCATTTCTCCACACGCCATAAGTGGTTTCAGAGAATGAAAGTAACACTTACCCCTATAGTAGAAGCCATGTAATCCGAGCAGATCTCTGCAAAGTCTCTCCCCATTACACCGTAGTAGAGGCCATAGAACAAGGACACAATGCCAAAATCCATAGAATCTCTGGCCTTGATTCTATTGAAAATATCAGTGTAAAAAGATTAGAATGTGGCTTGGGATGGGGGAGAGGTGTGGGGTACAGCTTGGAAAATACTTCCTGCCATATAGGCAACAGAGTGGGGGGTATTTTGCTTTTCATGTATTTAGTTTTCCTTTTTTAAAATGAAAGAATTTAAATTTCTCTAAATTCCCCTTAAATTTTAGCACTCAGTGCTAAGTGGTCATTGCCATTCTTGAGAGAGTCTTCAAAGGGTTTTTAGTCAACCGTGCTGAGACCAGCCAGCTCTAACCAGCACCTCCCAAGCTCAGCTCACTTAGAAGGACTTGGGCAGCTTGTAAAAATGTCCATCTCTGGGCTTCACCTGAGGCCAGCTACACAGTCCCCTCTGGGGAGGGCTGTTCTGCAATATTTTTTGAAGTGCTCCAGACTCCAGGTGATTCCAATGGGCAGCAAACAGTTAGACTCTCTTGTAACACAGCAATGGGCCTTAGCCCTAAAGAAGTCTCACCTGAGGAGATCTAACACCCTCCTGATAAACAAGCCCACCTTTAGGGCTCTAACTGAAGTGGCCTGGGGTGGGGTCTGGATAAGAGGTGGTTCTGCCATACAGCTAAAGCTGAGATACCTGGTGTCCAACTCAGGTTTTACAGAAAGCTTTTAAATATTTCATCTCACCTAATAAAATTCTTGAAATACATATTATTATCCCCACTGTGCATTTGAAAAAATGGAAACATAGGAAAAATGATATACTTAACATTGCAGTTGGTACCTAGTAAGACCAGGAATCAAGCTTAACTTTAAGGTCCTTGCTGTATTGTCATATATTAATAAAAATTTGTCTTTCAAGTTGGGTCATATACCAATACACTATGATTCTCTTTGATAACCTCTCTTTTTTTAAAGGCAAAGATCTCTAAAAAGTGAATATTAGTCCCTAATTTAATTGCTGGGTCTTATTCATTGCACTGTTGGTCTGCTATCTCCGTAAATGATCTCAAATACTAGCCAGGGGCCTGCGTGGGTCTGACTGAGTCAGGAGGGCACCTGGTAGTGGAAAGAAGCCGGGTGGTCTATCTCAAAACCTCTGGCTGTTTATTTGTGCCTTGTTAATTGGAGGAGGAAGTGGAAAAGGCAGAGTGCTTTGCAGACCCAGGGGGGCCCATCTTTGGGTGGTGTGAACTGGGAATTCCAGCAAGGGGGTGGAGTCATCCTTTCAAGATTTGCCTGAGTGTATTTCAGAGTAAGGGCGGTGGGAAGGGAAGATGATCCTCCCTCCATGTCCAGGGACAGACGTATTTACAGTCTCATGGTTCCGCAAAAAAAAAAAAAAAAAAAAAAAAGAACTTAATTCAATTGCTCATCAATATTTTATAATGAAAAAACAGTCCTTGTCGCATTTTAAGGGTTAATGCCTCAAAATGGTTCATGGTAGGAGAGTTCATGGATAAGGATTTTAAAATCTCATGAGCTAATGGTCTTCGGGCAATTATCATTAACTTAATAAAATTCTCACAAAAATTTTACATTCACTCCAATAATACGAACAGCATGCTGAAAGATTATTAGTGACTTTCTACATCTTAAATTAACAATCTGAGATCTGTACAATTACCTTCTAGTCCTTTCTTGCTAGAAAATAGTTGGAACTCCCACTCTGGAAGTTTTGTGAAATGCTTATAAAGTTAGAGGGCTGTGTTGCCACAAAAGAGTCCTTTCCCGGGCCTGGTTCTCCATTCAGTTGTCTTCTTTATTTTGAGGTTAGGACTGCTCATCTCTGCCTTTCAATCTCTGTTATGGCCCGAGAGATTTAGAGTAACTTCTAGGTGAGAGATATTCAGGGAAATTTGTAGTCGAGCATCTGTCCATAGCTGTGTGCTTACATTCCCTTTTCCAGAACACGTGTTGATTACATAGCCTCAGCTCTGCCCAGGAGGATCTTAAAGAGAGCACATTTCCCTCTTCCTAGGGAACATACAATTCTGAGTCATAGAAATAATTATCCCAATGTCCATTATTTCTCCTCAGACTTCCCTGCTCCGTTCTCTCTCTAACTCTCCTTCAATGTCTAAGCACTCAGTTTTCTCCTTGTTCAGCTGCATGTCATGGGTGCCAGATACACAGGATTAGAGCAGTGTTGTCTGGTATAAATATAGATCTGACCTATATTGAAAATATAAATTTTCTGATATCCACAATAAGAAGACAAAAAGAAACAGATGGAGTAATTTCACTAATACCTACAAAATACTATAATTTCAATATTTAATCCACATGAAAATTCTTTTTTATATAGTCTTTGAAACCCAGCTCATCTTAGATCTATTTTATTTTATTTTTTATTTTTTTTAAGATTTATTGATTGATTGATTGATACATGCATACATACAAGCAAAGCACTGGGTACAGTCAGAAGCGCAGGTGGGTGAGAGAATTCACCAGAGCCAGAGCGGGGAGCAGAGCAGGCAGAAGGACCGACGCACACTGCTGAGGGGAGCAGCGGGCGGCAGGAGAGGTCTGCACACCATGCAGGACCCTCCTCCGGTGGCCGGGGAGCAGCCGGGGATCGAACTGGCGCTGCAGAGGCTGCAGGCAGCTTCGCAACCCAGCGCTCAACTGCTGCGCCACCAGGGAGGCCCTTAGCTCTATTTTAAACATTCAAAAGTCATAGGAGCTAGCAGCTACTGAGTTGGATAGTTTTAGACGTTTTAAGAAAGAAGCTTTATCAAAGGAAACGACACTTTAGAATTTGGTGGAAAGGAAATCTATAGCTCACTAAGGGTTACTCAATCACATAGGGAAGCTTACTTTTAATGATGGTTTTTAAAATTTGCAAATCAAGTATATTTTCTTTTTAAAGTTTATGATTTTTGAAAACTTTTTATTCCGTGGGGTTTTCTCTTCCTTTTTGAGTGGATTCACTAAAGACAGCTATATGCCAATGATAACTGCTATAAACAATGTGCATGAAGTCCAGGACCAATTATAGCATCCAGATATGTGTCTGACCTGGTGACTGTTAGGAGCAAGTGCGTGGAGATGAATTTCTTAATTGGTGATACTTACTTGAAAAACAAATTGAATCCACACATGGTAAACATGATGGCCAGATAACCCACTACGCCAAATGCATAGCTGAGTTTGTAGATGAGAAGAAACCACTTGTAGACCAGCCTGTGGAGTGAAATATAGGGAGAAGCCATAGCCACAGAACATGACAGAAAATGTTTTATCCCTTTCAAACAATATTTTAAGTTAGTCTTAGTTTCTCTAATTCCACATATCATGTAATATGCAAAACATATGTATATTATACCAACTAAATTCAATTAATAGGGTTCTGATATGATATCAACAAACATTATACAAATAGTACCATTGTGCACAGGTGTTGCATGTATAGGCATATATAAATTCATTGTAATTTATTTCTTTATTTTTTTTTTAGAGATTTATTTTTGGGCCTCCCTGGTGGCGCAAGGGGTTAAGCATCGCACTATGAAGCAATCTGCAGCCTCTGCAGCACGAATTTGATCCCTGGCCAGCCAGACCTCTCCTGTCTCGCCCTCTGCTCCCCTCAGCAGTGTGTTTCAGTCAGTCTGCCTGTTCTGTTCCCCACTCTGTCTCTGGTGAGTCCTCTCACCCTCCATACCTCTGGCCTATACCCCAGTTCTTCTATGCATAAATAAATAAATATTTAAAAAAATATTTATTTTTATTTATTTATGCACACAAGAATTGGAGTATAGGCCAGAGGTGGGGGGAGGTGAGAACATTCACCAGAGACAGAGTGGGGAGCAGAACAGGGGAAATACACTGTGGATTTAGTGGATCTAGGGAAATACACTGCTGGGGAGAGCAGCGGGCGAGACAGGAGAGGTCTGATGCATCATGTGGGTAGCTCCCTGACTGGGGATTGAACTCAGGCTGTAGGGGCTGGCGATAGGTTGATAGTACTGAGACTTTAACCCCTGCACCACCAGGGAGGTCTCCATTGTAATTTATTACAGGATAATAATGATCATGTAATAACTTTGACCTATACCTCATAAAAGATGACCTCCAGTAGTGGTTTGCCTGCCTGGGGCCCTGACTGCCCCCCCTCCTTCTTTTCTCATTTGGTCCTGGGTTTGCTTAGAGAGGTTTGGGCAAGAGTAGTTTCCGCCCATCAGCGATGGGATGAGATGTCAAGGGGGAAGACCTCCTGCCCCCTGGAGTTTCTCTTCCCTCCTGCTGCTGCTGGTCCTCCGCCCTCAAGCCCAGTGCCTGCTTGTCCTTGGCAGTGGGCCGAGCCCTCAGCCCTGCTCCTTCCACTCACAGAGCCTCCCCTAGGCTGGGGGTGAAGTTGCAGGGGTGCTGCTTCTGTGGGCCTTCCCACTGTGTGGGTGCGCCCCGGGCACCCTCACGGGTCAAGATCCTTCCTCAGGCCTTTCTCCTCAAAGGGCCTGGGTGCAGCAGGCAGAGGACGAGGATGGAGCATAAGAGTCAGGTGATAGAGAAAGGAGCCTTTAGTTTTGTTAGTTTCCTTGGGAACATGTGGGGAGAGACTGGGATCCCACTTCCGTTTGGGTGCCCCCCAGTATAAGGCTCACCCACTGGACCAAGAAGAGGTGAGAGACAGAGAAGGAGCAGCTGGAAGACTAGCCGTCGCACCCAGAGGAGATAAAGGGGTGCTGGAATGTGCTGACAGATGTGCACAATGGCAGGAAGCCCAGTTTGCCATGAAGATCCTTCGCTCTACTATTTCTTTAAACAGAAACTTCTATATCCTGCCTGCTTTTCTAGAAGAAAGGGGGCCCTAAATAGTCTGTAATCACCATAAATTCTCAATGATAGTGAGGCAAAAAGTTTATTAGGTAATCAAAGTGAGGATTGAAACCTGGGGAGTAATTGACAGAATTTACTTTGGGAGCTCCGTTTCAACTATCACAAGTTTGGATTTGTTTATATAGACAGCGAATCACTGACATTTAAAATGTAATTGTTCTTGGGCCTCCCGGGTGGCACAGCGGTTGAGCTCTGGGTTGCGAGGCTGCCCGCAGCCTCTGCAGCGCCTGTTCGATCCCCGGCTGCTCCCCGGCCACCAGGAGGGTCCCACATGGCGCGCAGACCTCTCCTGCCACCCGCTGCTCCCCTCAGCAGTGTACTTCGGTCCTTCTGCCTGCTCTGCTCCCCGCTCTGGCTCTGGTGAATTCTCTCACCCTCCCGCGCTTCTGACTGTACCCAGTGCTTGTATAAATAAATAAATAAATAAATAAATAAATAAATAAATAAATAAATAGATAGATAGATAGATAGATAAAGAACCCTGCCTTAAAAAAAAAAAAAAGAAAGAAAGAAAAATAAAATGTAATTGTTCTTGACATAGGGCTTCTAGTTCTAAGTTGCTTTAACCTAAAGATACGTTGATGCGATCCATGTGCAAAGAAAGGCAATGCTGGGGTTGAACCTCTGACTTGCTAAAGAATGCGGCAACACTGGGTGCCTCTGGCTTAAATCCTTTAACTAGTGGACAGTAGAGTTTGCAGCGTTGTTTCAACTGAGACCTCAAGTCTCAGGTGATGGCTTTTGCTCTCCCGTCTGCTAGAGCAGAGAGGGCTCATTCCCAGAACATTTTTCAGTATGTTTGCAAGCCTCTGCAGAGTGGGGTCTGCTCTAGACTGTCATGGAGTGTCCTGACTCTGACGATGCTGTGCAGGCGGGAGGAGGTTGACATGAATGCCCAGTGGGCGAGAAGTAGAGGGCAGGGGGCCTGGCATCTGAGATAGCTGAGGTGTGGAATGGGGAAGTGCTTGGCTATTTCTTGTAGTGAAGTCCCTCTGCATTGATTGAGAAATACTGCTTTTAGTTCAGATAATTCATTAGACAGTGGGAAAGTGAATGATTTGCAATTGCATGCAATATAGATTATATTCAGAGCGTGGAAACAATTACATTTCAGTTCATCAAAAACTTAAATTACTTTCACAAGCCTTAACACACAACATAGTGTAAGAAAATAGGGTTCCTGTGTCTACTTCCTGATGTGGAAACCAGGTCATACAAAGATTCTCTAAGACCCAAATATGACTGATTAAGTAGGTCTCCAAACTACCCCAAAGCTCATCCCAAAGTGGAATTGATTAAAATACTCATAAACCTACAGTCATTTATTTGCATTTTAATCGTTATCATTATGTCTGACTTTTCTCGTTGAATACTTCTCCTTCTCCCAACTAGAAGGAATACTTGGTATTTGTGTCTCCTGCTTTTAAGAAGAATTAAAACAAATACCTAGATGGCTAGATAATCATGAAACTGTTTCACAGGAGCTTATGATTTATTCTCCAACACAGATAAAAAATTGACACTGTTTTATTACCATTTCACATTTTACACATTTTCTCTTTATCTTATCCATTTTATCTGGATTGAATTCAAATTTTATCCACAGTGTAAGGAGTGTGAAAGCAAATGGGGCCACATCATGAGGTTAAAGGCACTTTGGGACAATTTGTAAACAATATGGTAGAATTACATGAATGTTGAGGTCAGCGATGGTAATTAAATGATCATCGGCATATTAAAGCCTCACTTATCATGAGAGTAATTGTCCATTAGCTATGATTTACAGACAATTTCAGATGGAAATAAACTCTTGTAACTCTTTCTCTCTTTTGAAATGTGTGTGACACAGTTTCAAGTGGAATAAAACAAAATGCCAGATGAAAAATAAATATGAAACAGTGCTCTAGAATTTTTAACAATACGTTCACTTTCTTCCTTCTGGCCTTCCCTGGCTGACATCTGAAGTGATACAGTTTACAGGCATGTCTGACTTGCCATTAAGTAATGGATGTGAACTAATGGCACCGCTATTCTCCAAATAGGTTGCTACCATAGGCAAACGCAGGGCAACACCCAGGATCACGGGCATTAAATACACATTTTAAAATAGAAGGGACAGGGCAGAAGGACAGCCTGGATTCCTTACCGTGGTGTTCTCCCAGAGAGGGGCTTCCGGGTTGCTCTGAAGAGGATGTAACTGGTAATAACTGAGAACATGCCCCACATGGACAGAAAGCGCCACCAGTAGAGTTTTATGGTGAAATACAAAGGGACAACCCACATCTGTAGCAGGGTCACCAGCTGTCAGAGAAGTGAAGAGAAGGTCTCGTTCAGTAACTGAGGAGCCGATCGTCTGGTCCACTAGTAAACCATTTAGGAGCTGCCCTGGGGAGACCACGTCACCGTCGTGGTAACAAACACCTAGTTCACCTGCAACCGTGAGCTGCTCTGTATCTGCAAAGGTAGGAGCCAATGGGGACAAGTACCTGAAAATGTAAGTGGGAAATAATCCAAAATGCCCCCTCACCTCGTTTCCTCTGGTCAGTTTCTATGACAGCAACTTCAGGCTGCTGTGGTTATGTCATATGGGATAAACACGTCTCACTTCAGTTGTGAAATTGGGGATAATGGGCTCGCATGGGCTGACTGAGTGGGGATCCCCTGAGAGCACAGATGGGAGAGGGCTCTGGAAGCAGGTCGGTGCCCCTGGGGGCCAAGGCGCTGGTGTTACCGTCACGGGCAAACGCACAGTGACCGAGGAAGCCACGGTGTTTCTGAGCAGCTTCCGGAGACCCGCCTGCTGTCCTGGTGGACCCCTCCCAGCTTCACCCCTGAATCCAAGTGGGGTACTACCTGCACCCTGAAGAGGGCATTTCAGCCCTTCGTTTTGCCTCTTGACCTTTCATTTATTTACTGCTGCCCTCCCAGGTGCCCGAGATGTGGGTCACACTCTTTCCTGCTCCTGTGCATGCAGCCTCTTTGTAGCTGGGACCGGGGATCTGAGTCTAAATAACCTTCCATCAGCAGGTAAGTCGTCTGGCCCACAGCACCCACAGTGCGGGAAGCGGGAGAGACTGAGCTGCTGGACTGTGGTGGATGAGGGAACGCTGTGCTTCGACTCTTCAGCAGACCTCATGCCTGCTATGGTCCTTTCGTGCAAATAGCAGATAGGTTTAACCAGTAGCAATAACCTTTGGTCTCTTACATTTTCTCACATCTGGTCTACCTACCTACAGTTTCTCAGCAGAATCAGAAGAGGCGGAGGGCAAAGAGTTTCGTCTCAGGTGTGGGTTTTATTGGCAGTGGTGCTGGGCAAGGCTGGTCTTGGGTATGGAGCTGGGTCCTGGTTTATTGGTAATGAAGGTCACGATTGATTAATTGTCTGCCAGTGATGTGGAAAAAGTGGTTAGTGCCTGCTGTCACATAGTGGTCATCTGTATAATTCATCTTTCTGGCAGAAAGAGGTGGCTTAGCAAAAAGGGTCTTCAGTTATATTTTTGGATCCTTTAACATGGTCTTGGTTATAAGAATCTTAAGGACAGTAAGCACAAATTATTTGATAGGATTTCAACATGGAAAGGACGAGAAATCACAAGCTAGGTAACTGAGATTCAAGATATGCTTACTTAGCACTGTGCATGAGTGATTTTGACCTTTTCTATTATTGATAATAAAATGCACAGTCCCATAAAAAAATCTCCTCAGTATATTGGTTATTTATTTCCTATAGCTGCTTATGGAAATAGTTTTCCATGATAAATGATAGATTTTGAATTTTGATGCCATTAGTTTTGATATTAATGAAGGAAAAGCCCATGATCTGAACACCTGTCATGTATATTTTCATCCTTTTTAAAAAGAATTTATTCATCTTTATAGTTCACCTGTAAAAATGCTAATGCTTTTTTTAAAATAAAAAGTTACGTCAGTTTATTTTAATTCACTGAAACTACCACGTTGTATATTTTATACTTTAGATTATAAGCCAAAAATTTCAAGACTATTCCATTTCCTCAAATCAGTGGAATTACTAAGATAGTTTGAAGCAACAATTAGACTACATATTTATAACACACATTCTCTGTGGATCTATAAGTACCACCCATTTTTAGAAGATCCCATATTTCTCTTATGGGATGTTTGGGTTTTAATTAATAGTGAATAAAATGTTCAAATGTATAGACACTCTAAAACATAGGCTTGAGAATGAGAAATGAAGAGCAAAAGATCATTATAATGTACTAGAATGCAAACATTTAATTTATTAGTTATCTTTAAAGTGCATACCCAGTGTCATACTTTCCTAACATACAGAGGGAATAGTCAGAAACTTGCATTATGAATTCAATAATTGTACAAGAAGCTATTTTGGAATGAGGGTCTACATTTCATTGCAATTTGAAAGATGCTTTATCAATTTCCAGAGCAGTCAAAACTTCTCATTTTTAATACTAACTGCCACATATGAAATGTAGGAATGTTGTGTCTCATAAATAAACACATGAAATATGTGAAATCGAGGTGCATGCATGCATGCAAAGGAGGAAGACTGGCAGCTGGGATGCTTTAATAATGCCAGAGGGGTCATCATCTGGGCATGTGCATATAAAACACATCTGCATTAGGGGCGGAGGGCAGCCGTGCATCTGGATCCCATCACCCACGTTCTCCCCACCCACACATCAGGGCAGGAGGAATTTCCTGATGAATCGGATGCTGCCCAAAGGTACTGTGTTTTTTCTTGCGGCCATACACACAATGAAGCTGAACAGAATTGTAAATCAAGTCAAAACAAAGATATCCTTTCATTTGCTTAATGTACAGCATGATGAATGGGCCATATAATATGAGACAGACAGTAAATTAAAAAGAAAGAAAGTAAAAAGTTAAAGTCAAAGGAAAGAGAAAGAAAGAGCAAGGCAGAGTAAGAAGAAAGTCAGGTGATGATCATTTTCCTACTATTTTTCCAGCCCCTGCAACCAGGGGGGCATGTGTGTGTGTATGTGGGGGCAGGGGAACTGGGGGGAGTTCAGGGAGATGATCAGAGGTGAGCAGAGAATCATCATGCAAATAAATAACTCCAGGCTGTCCTGCTGCTCTCAGGACATATGAAGGAATGTGTGGACATGAATCGGACAAGGCAAAATATGAAATGTCGGCATAGGAAGGACACTTTGAGAGTCACACAGTCCATATTTTTTCTTCAAATCAATTCTGACTGTGGATTGGCCTAGTTCAGCTCTGCAAGGAGATTCTGCAGTGTTGTGTGTGTGACAGTGTATGTGCCTCATCTCACTTTCAAGAGTCAGGCAGACCCGTGCATTCCTGGCACAGGGACATGTTCTCATGTTTCACAGCAATTAATAGGTAGGAAGTTTGATATAAATGGAGCTATGTTTCAGTCTGTGGGAAACTACTAGCCCGTGTATTGAGGCAAGTTAGCCATGTGCCTGAAGTCCTGACTATGTGGCCAGCAGGTCTTCTGCTGACTCGAAGGGAAGTAGGATTCTCTTTGGCACCCTTCATCCTATTTCCTGTAGAAAAGTAGGATACAGAAAAGAAAGTGCAGAAGGTAGTGCTGACTAGGATTTTGTTTTGAAGATTTATTTATTTTTATACAAGAATTGGGGAATAGGCCAGAGATGCAGGGTGTGAGAGGATTCACCAGAGACAGAGTGGGGAACAGAATAGGCAGATTGACTGAAATACACTGCTGAAGGGAGCAGCGGGCGAGACAGGAGGGGTCTGTCCCACTATGTGGGTTTCTTCCTGGCCGGCCAAGAATCGAACTCGTGCTGCAGTGGCTGTGGATTGCTTCATAGGTTGTGTCTTAACCCCTGCTCCACCAGGGAGACCCCGGATTTTGTTTTTAATTAAATGTTATCAAAAGCATTTGGATACCATTTCACTTGGAGGCTCTGCTTATGTCTCTACCATATTAACTGGAAAGAGAAAAATTCAAATATTTAGCTGCATAGTTATGTTGTATTCAAAATGTGACTATTTGGAAACATCTAGGTATATAATAGTATCCCAAACAAGAAATTTATTGACATATAGACAGCTCACTTTCCATTGTATTTTATCTACAATTTGTAGCATCTCCTAGGAGCAATTATATTTTTAAACTTTATTTTCCAAATTACCTGTTTCCTTGCTTTAGTTTTTTTTTTTTTTTAAAGATTTATTTATTTATGCATACAAGAGCTGGGGACAGGAGAGGTCTACCTCGCCATGTGGGTTGCTCCCTGGTGGGCTGGGGAATGGAACTCATGCTGCAGAGGCTGCGGACTGCTTCACAGTGCAGTGCTCAACCCCTTGCGCCACCAGGGAGGCCCTGCTTTAGGAATTCTTAATAAGTTGTTCTGAGGTACACAGTGCCTACAGACCACAAATCTGTAGTCTAGACAAACGATCACTTCATAAGATAATCATATTTGTTAAACACTGGATGAGCTTTTTAATCCCTCATATGGTCTGAATTATGCATGAAATAATCGAAAGATAACAAAACTTTATAAGAAATAATATTTCCAGGGTATAAATAATATGTATAAATAGGAATACCTTCTGTGTACAAAGGTGTCCTCATAATATATATTGTGTGTGTGTGTCATTTCCTCCCTAACTTCCTTCCCTTGCTTATCTGTAAACTCCTATTTCAACAGTAACTAACTTGGCTCTACTAATCTGCCCTCCATTTACTTGGCTGTCCCTTTCCAGAATACTACAGCAATATCAGACTGTTGGAGCAGACCCCCATGGGAACAAGTTTATCAGCCAGTGTACAGTGCTTCTGTGCCTTAATCATACAGACTTCTCATTGCCAGAGGTGCTCAGAGCAGCTTCCTAACCTCCTGCCCTCCCCAATTCCCTTCATTGAGGTTGTTTCATGTATTTGTAATGCATTGAGATTCTCTTGTACCATTTGCTCTTCCCCCTGGGACACACTGGTCCCCCTCCACCCAACATCCTACATGATCTCCCTAGTGTTTGGATACATTAAGTTCCACTGTTTGCTCTGTATAGTTGAACGGGGTCGACAAATGCATAATGCCTTGTATCCACAATCACATGTTGATCAATTTTACTGCCATAAAATCTCTCTTTTCACATGTCTGTCCTTCCTTCTTCCCTCCCTGAACCACGGTCATTTTACTTTCTATGGTTTTGCATTTTTCAATTGTCATGTAATTGGAATCACACAGTCTGTGTCCTTTTCACATGGGCTTGTCACCAAGGTTCCTCCAGGTCTTTTCATGGATTTCATAGCTCATCTCCTTTTATTGCCTCCACATACTAAGATTTGAGTGTATAGCGGGACCACAGTTTGCTTATTTATTCATATTTTAAAGGACATCTTGCTTGCTTTTAGTTTTAGGTGATTATGCATAAAGATACTATAAGTATCTGCATGTAGATTTTGTGGGAATGTGAGTAAATAAAATCAGGTAAATAAAAAATACCTAGTAGCATGGTTGCTAGGCAGTGTGGTAATGCTATGTTCAACTTTGTGGGAGGCTGCAAAACAGCCTTCCAAAGTGCTTTTACCATTTGCACTCCCATCAACAAGAGTTCCCATTGCTCATGAAACTCATCTCCATTTGGTATTGTCAGTTTTTTGGATTTTATCCATCTAGCAGGTATGTATCCGTATCTCATTGTTTTAATTTGCAATCCCCTGATGACATATGGTGATGAGCTTTTCATATGCTTATTTGTATAAGGAATAGATTTCTTTGATATGAAAGTGAACAACTAATCAGGTTTGATTCTAGTCTCCTTTAGTTAAAAATAAATCATCCAAGTGAAATATAGAGGGTGTTGAATCGACAACACAATGCTGACATGCAGCCAGTCCAGGCAGTTACCACTTGCTTCCTTCACAAAGGAGAGCTTTTCTATGGCAGTGGGAGGGGCTTGCTTCCAGCACCGCCACCCCCAAGCCCCTGGGGCACTCACGTTGTAAGAGCGGCCATGCCTCTGTCTCCACTGCACCAGCACGATCTGGGCGATGACCAGGGCGCAGAGGAAGATCAAGATCATCTCCACGTGCATGGACTCGTGGCCCCGGTGCATCCGGTATATCTGCTCCTGCTGCAGACTGAAAACAGCGAAAAAAGGTCATTGAGGGCCTCCCCGGTGGCGCAGCGGTTGAGCGCTGGGTTGCGAAGCTGCCCGCGGCCTCTGCGGCGCCGGTTCGATCCCCGGCTGCTCCCCGGCCACCAGGGGAGGGTCCCACATGGCGCGCAGACCTCTCCTGCCGCCCGATGCTCCCCTCAGCAGTGTGCTTCGGTCCTTCTGCCTGCTCTGCTCCCCGCTCTGGCTCTGGTGAATTCTCTCGCCCTCCCGCACTTCTGACTGTACCCAGTGCATGTATAAACAAAAAACAAACAAACAAACAAACAAATAAATAAATAAAACATGCCTCTATTCTGTAAAAAAAAAAAAAGGTCATTGAGAAGGCCCTCAACCGTTGTGCATTTAACCAGAACAAATAGGCTGGGTTCATAGGAAGCAATTGGAGACCTCAAAGGTAGGGGTTTTAGAGCTTTGATCACAAAATTTCCTTGAGTTTGTCTAGATTCCTCCACTACCCCCAGGCTCCGAGGAAGGGGCAGCTGAGAGCAGGAACCTGAGTCAATTAGCAAAACCAGTTCCTCTCAGTCCATTGCTTTCCCCTGTGGTTCTGCCTTAAACCTTATCTTTTCACTTTACACGATGAGGCCAAAAAGTGTTGCTGATGGCTCCTGCGAAGACCTGGCTTCAAGTCCCTGATCTGCCACTTCATCGCCATTTAACCTTTCAAAAGTCAATTATCCGCGCTGAAAGTCAATTATCCGCGCTGTCTGTTTCCTCTTTTGCAAATTATAATAATCCCTCCCACTGATGCCTCACAGAATTGTTCTACAATGGTAAAGTACATATGTTATTTATTTTTATTTTTTTTAAAGATTTATTTATTTATACAAGCGCTGGGTACAGTCAGAAGCGCGGGAGGGTGAGAGAATTCACCAGAGCCAGAGCGGGGAGCAGAGCAGGCAGAAGGACCGAAGTACACTGCTGAGGGGAGCGGCGGGCGCGGCAGAAGAGGTCTGCGTGCCATGTGGGACCGTCGCTGGCGGCTGGGGATCGTACTGGTGCTGCAGAGGCTGCGGGCAGCTTTGCAACCCAGCGCTCAACCACTGCGCCACCAGGAAGGCCCACATATGTTATTTTACTTGTACTTACATGAGGGGTAATAATTGTGATTGGGTTGACTCATAAAACTGTGATTTTTGAAAATCAAAGTAAAACATGGGTCATTTCTAAAATTCTCAAGTAAAAGGCATCCTGCACAGGCAGGATACCCTGTGGGATGCAGGCAACTCCTGGGTGAGTGGTGGCCATTGTTTTCATTATAGGGAGCAAGAGGGGAGGTGATGTCTTAGGCACAGACACCCAGAAAATGGGGAATGTTTTAGCTTTTAGTTGGACTCTTAGTTTTGTACAATGATAGAGAAAAACGCTGAAATAGTACGTCACGGTTTCACGTCCTGCAGCAGAAACAGCTTCAAGGAAATCAGTGGTTCTTTACCTTGGCTGTAAATTGGAAATCACTGGGGAGATTTAAAAAATCCCAGCTCAATCAAGCTGTGTACCTCAGGTAATGAGATCACTGTTGCTGGGTGGCATGGACTGAACTGTGTCCCCCCAGAAGCCATAAGTTGAGTTCTTAGCCCCCGGAACCTCAGAACCTAACTGTACATGGAAATAGGAACTTTAAAGAAGCAATTCAGGTAAAGTGAGGTCATAGGAGATTAGGACATGCTGCACACAGAGGGAACACCATATGAAAACCCAGTGCAAGGTGGCCTCTGTGCCGAAGAGAGAGACTTCGGGAGGACCCAAACCTGCTGACACCTTGATCTTGGACTTTTTTTTTTTAAGATTTATTTATGAATGCATACAAGAACTGGGGTACAGGCCAAAGGTGGGGGTGAGTGAGAGGATTTGCCAGAGACAGACAGGGGAGCAGAACAGGCGAATCTACTGAAATACACTGCTGAGGGGAGCGGTAGGTGAGTCAGGAGAGGTCTGCTGTGCCATGTGGGTACCTCCCTGACCAGGGATCGAACTCGTGCTGCAGTGGCTGCGGATAGCTTCATAGCGCTGAGACTTAACCCCTTGTGCAGTCAGGGAGGCCCTGATCTTGGACTTTAAGCTCCAGAACTATGAAAAAAATGAATTGCTGTTGTTGAAGACTCTTAGTTTGTGATGTTCTGTTGAGCTGACTAATACAGATTTCTAGGATGTTCCAAGGCATTATGAATTTTAAAGCTCCCCAATATGATTTCTAGATGGAGACAAGATTAAGAGCGGATGGGCCAGAGGAAGAGCAAGCAGTGCAGGATCAAAATGACAGAAAAGGGGGAAAATTATGAATATTGTTAATCACTTTATAAATATTGATTAATATTAATTTTCGCCCTCAGTGGGGCACTGTCAGTCACAAAATCTCTTAAAGCTCCCACTTATGAATGCTTACTCAAAGCCATTGTATGGTAATGTTCTGTGCCCCAAGATTGTGACCACTTAAAGGTGCTTGTGGACATTGGGGTTGAGTTCTCCCCCTCTGCCAGCAAGACTCCAGCTGAAGGGTAGAGAGCACCCAGTACCTCCTAAGAGCCCCATTCAAGTCCCAGGGGTGCCCCCTGCTGGAGAATGCAGAAATCAGCCCAGAGAACCTACTAGTTCTGTGGGAGCTCAGCGTCCTCCGGAGGGAATCTCGGAATGTTAGTGCTGGAAGGTACCATAAATGTGCTAAAAACCCATTCATCTACCAAGTGAAGAGGCTGATGTACCACATCAGGTAAGAAACCTGGATAAAATTACATGGCTATTAGTCTCTGTGTTGGAAACTGAGCCTAGAAGCTCTTAAAAACAAAACAAAACAAAACCACTCATTCCTCTGAAGAAATGGGAAGTCAAGAAAAATGAAAAGGGTACAGAGCTTAGTTATGGTCTTCACAACCCCAAATCCAAAATAACTATTCAATAGTCTATGTACTGAGCAGATTTTCAACTTGGACCAGGTAGATAGAAGAGAGACTGTATCCATCTAAAGTAGGACTTGTATAAATATAAAACAAAATATGCTTGATGACATCTATCTATTTTTGTACATACAGTGAAAACATATCAAATGAATAAATCTGTGTGGAAGTACTTTAGAAAGCATAATGTCATATATAAATGGAATAAGTATTTCTGATTTTCATTAGGAATATAATAATAATGGATTTCTATTATGCAAAATATGAGGAAACTTCCATTTTTATTTCTTTTCATTACAAGGGCCCAAATGGCCCCCCAGCAGATACCAGCACACAGGCGAAACAGCATGTCATGCAAGCCAGATGTGTTGTATGCCTAAAATAAATATTAATTCGATGCTGCCCTATCTTGAGGGACATATAAGTGCAGCTTGGCAGGACTGCATGGAGCACACTATAGAGAAAAAGATGGAATCCCTGCAGTCTTGGCCTCTGGTATCTGAGTGTGCATGGCTCAGCTAACTGCTTCTCTATTTTGGGAAGTTTATAAATACATTTATGACTTTATTTAATTTCTCAAACTGTTAAGATAGAAATCTAATTTTTAGTATTTCAGCTATAAAAAATACAAATCACTTACTTCCACTCATCATCCGCAGAAAGCTTTGTGTGAGAGGCCTGAAAAATATAAAAAGAGTCCTCAACATTTCCTTGTTTTCTTAGCTTGCATTTTATTACATTATATGGGAAATCCAAACCACAGAAAATAACCAAATTCCCAATACTGGAATAATTTAGGACAAAAGCCCTAATAGAATATTTGCTTATGGAAATACACACACACACACACACACACACACACACACACCCCTCAAAATGAAATAGCAAACAGGTCACTATTAGTAAATATTTGATTCCACTCTTAAGTCACAGAACCAGATGAAGCTCCATTCCTGGGGTCTAATTTGGCAGTTCAGTCAAGCTTGCAGAGAAGCATCTCTAATAGGCAGGGAGACACTGGCTTCTGGATATGATGTGTGCATTGAAAACTCCTAAAAAAATCTGCTTTGCGAGTATCTTAAATGATGCCAACAGTAAGTATCATCTCTAAGTACAGGGTTTTAGAAACAGAGGTGACCAGTGGCTCTACTGGTTAGGAGCTGTGTTTGCGCCCTCTTGTTTTTCACTTAAAGTCTATTCTGAAAGTCTGGGAAGGCAGTAATCTGGCTATTCCCTTGCAGATTGAACTGGAAAGCACAGAGACTATATTGGGACTGCTTTTGGACTATCTACAACAAATACACACTACCTTTTCTTGGTCGCTGCTAACCCACAGCATTTGGGCATCTGAAACCTTAAGATCAGTGGCTGAAAGATATGATTTTACAACTCTCATGGAACACAAGGAAGCTTAATCCCTCCAGGAGTGTTAAAAGATACTGTTTCAAAGCTAAAATCCCCAGTGATGGCACAGAAGAGAAGGTGAATAATACATTTGTTAAACAGACCTGATATTAGCCAGGCATTTTCCCTTTGCATTTCCTTCAAAGGACATGAGCATTTCAGACAGAGAAAAACAATGCCACCCAGGGATGGTCTAGGATTTCTCTGAATCAAGGTAAACAGGTTCTGCCGCATCTCTGTGCATCTGTCAGAGGCTTGAAGGATTCCCCAATAAGAGAGAACAAGGCTCTGGAAGACACAACTAGGTAGACTTGGGCAATGTTTGTAGAATGCTAAGGTTTGCTGGACAATGCCAGGAGCTTCTCATGGCTCCCTGTACCTGAGTGATCCCGCCTGGTGGTTCCTGATATTCAGATGGAGCTCACAGACTCTGGGTTCCTGCTGAGCTCCAGGGGTAAAGCCTTGGTGGCAATCCACACGTAGTGGTGGAGCCTGAAGCCCCACCTTTGTGTGATGGCCCATCTTTGCTGACTTCTGCTTTGGGGAGCACTGCTTGTATCTGGAGTCATGAGTCACTTCCACCCAGGACAAAATTCTGAGCTCACTGGTGGTTATTCTGGTGACTTGGGCACATCACTAAGCAATGTTCATCCTGTTTCTTTATTAGAAACTGGAGATTGGAGCCTCCCCTGGTGGCGTAGGCGGTTGAGCGCAGCTCTGTGAAGCTGTCCGCAGCCTCTGCAATGCTGGTTTGAATCCGGCCGGCCGGCGAGGGTCCCATATGAGATGGCAGGCCTCTCCTGTCATGCCTGCTGCTCCCCTCAGCAGTGTATTTTGTCAGTCTGCCTGTTCTGTTCCCTGCTCTGTCTCTGGTGAATCCTCTCACCATCCCGCAAATCTGGCCTGTACCCCGGTTCTTGTATGTATGGATAAATAAACAAACAAAAAAGAAACTGGAAATTGATATTATAGCTACTCTCTGCCTACTGTATTAAATGTTGTGAGCATAAATCAGATTCAGTATGAGAGCTCTGGAAGAAGGTGCTTTATTCCAAGAGCCATTGATCTCTATACAAGTCATATCCTACAAGACTCCCCGGGTCCTTCTCTTTTTGCTGTTCAAGATTTTTAGGATCATTTTGCTTCCTGTTAAAATTTGTTTATAATAAGGAACAAGGTTTTTATTTCAGTTACAAGGAAAAGTCCCCTTTGCTTTTTACCAGAAATACTGTGCTTACTTGTCTACCAGATGCCAAGTCACTTTTCACCAAGTATGATAACCTATTCTGCTGATGACCAGGAAAACTCAGGTAATGGAAACTGTAGCTGAAAAGATTTTTTCTAAATACTAGTAAGAACTTCCCCACATCAAGTGATATTAAAATCATACTCATATTTCCTAGGGAAAATCAAACTGTGAAAATGATGATACTGATGACACTGAAGAGACTAATATTACTAATATTAGGTGATTGGAAAAGTCATGACTTTTTTTTCTGTTTTTCAAGCAAAAATGCATCATGACTTTTCTGATAACCCAATAGTTCCCAACACATGGTATTTTTTATTTTGGTGGAGTCACCTTTTTGACGATTTTTTTTCCTGGTATGGTATCTTGCAAGTCCATTCAGGATCTTAAACCGAATTTATTTTGGAAAGCAACATGATGCTAATATTTATCTAGAAGGATAACAAATACGGGTAGCTTGGAAAATCAAAAGAAGAGTAAAGACTTGAGGCTGGGCCTACCGGTCATCAAAATCCATGGTAAAGCCACAGAAATTAATTGAAAGCAGTTCTGGCCCAGGAATAGGAAGGCAGATGAGTGAACAGAACATAGAGTCCAGGAATAGACCCAAGTGCATATGATAAATGAGTCACTTCAAATCATGAGGAAAAATGGATTGTTCATTAAATGGTGCTGAGACAATTAGCTAAGCATTTGGAAAAAATATAAAGCTGGATCCAGAGCTAATTTTCCACTTCAAAATACATTCCAGATGGGTCAAATATGTACATGTAAAAAAGAAAATCTTAAAAGTGCTAGAAGAAAATATCATACAAGGGAGAGGGCCTTTCTAAGTATGATGTGGTGCCTAGAAATGATAAAGTAAAAAAACAAAATACACATTTTGAAGATGTAAAAGTCAACTACACATAAATCCCCAATGCACGGTTAGGTACCCAAGAATCTGCAGCCTAGCTCTCTTGTAGGTTCTTTTACAAGACTTCACAAGCCCCGGGGTTCTGGGTCATAGTGAATCTCCTGAAGTTCCCCATGGTTGCACTACCATCCCCCAAACAATTTCTTTCACTTCTAAGAAATTTGATAACCTCTTTTCCCTCCATCTAGAATTCCCACTTCCTCTACCCCCACCTGGCCATGCCTCATCCAGCCTCTGAGGTCCAGCGGGAAGGCCTGGCCCCATTGGCCTTAACACAGCCTGGCCCCCTCAGGAGCAATCTCCTGCTTCTTAGAAATGCTACAATGCTTTACCTGAATCTAAATAATTTTTGTCCATGTTTTACTTTGCTTCCAGGATGTGAGTCCACCACTAGTGCACCCGAACTCCATTTGTAGTTCAGCTCCGGGTACCTAATCATAGCCTAGGAATTGTCCTGAGAAGGGAAAATAAAGCGGTGGGTGGGTCTGTAATCACCACCAGTGGGAGGCAGAGAGAGCCAGCCCAAAGGTTCTCCAGGGTCAGTGCACCCCTGGGAACTCGTTAGACTTGCAAATGATCAGGCCCTGTGCTAGAGGGGAGCAATTTGAAACCTGGAGACAGAGGCCTGAAGCTGGGAGGTTAATGAGCCTTCCGGATAATTCTGATGTGCGCTGGGGTTTGAGAACTACAGAGTCCTGCCTACCAGGCAGCCAACCGGCATCCCTCAGCTCCTCCATTGCCTACGGTCCCCGCCTGGGCGCTGGACGCTTCTGCCAGGGAGCCAGAGGCGGCTAGCATGGAGGGCAGAGAATGGGTAAGATGAGCCGGGTAAGGTTGAATCTGAGACAGAATGAGGAGAGAGAGGGCGGGATGGAAGGACTGGGGAGCAGAGGAAGGACCGGAGGTAGAGAAAGACAAACAGGCGTTGGGCTCTCCTGAGGTAGGCTGAGCAAAGCCACCCCGCCTTCCAGAAGCTCCTCCATCCCTCTGTCCTGACCTGTTCGCACCAGGTGGCGGTGGGGGTTTGGGAGGTCTGCGCTGGGCCCGGCCTTCCTTTCCCCGCCCGCACCCCCACACCCGTCTCTTCCCGGCCTGCAGGGCGCTGCGTACCTGCTCGTGCTGGGGGGGCGCCTCCAGCACCGGCGCAGCCTGGCGCGCCCTGGGCCCCGCGGCCATGGCTCGGCCGCGCCCACCTTCGCAGCGCGGGCGGGGAGGGTCCGGGGTGGCCACCGAGCGGGCGCCCCTGGGGCTCACCAGGCGCGAGTGGGAGCCGAGCCTGCGGCCACCGGGTGAACGCCCAGCCCAGGGCCGTGCGGTGCCGGCGCGGGGAGGCTCCTGGCGCGCGCGCCCTTTCGCCCCGCGCCCCGCGCCCCGCGCCCCGCGCCCGCGCCCCGCGCTGGCTTCCCCCGACCCCCGTTGCTGGTGTTCCACGTCGTCCTGGGTCCTCAAGAGCCCCCGCAGGTCCCGCGCCTCGCCGTAATGCAGGCATTCGGGGAGCGGTCGTCTTCATCGCCTCTACAGCGTCCTGAGCTGTGTCCTGGGCAAGAATCAGAGGTTTTGTTACCAGGCCTTGGGGTGGAGGAGGGCTCTGAGGTAGGGAGAGATCTGCGGGAGGATGGAGAGGAAGAAACGGAGGTGAGAGAGCGAGGGAGGAAGAGAGAGCCTTCCCCACTCAGCTCTCTCCCTCAGTGTTTCCCAGAAGATGCGTCTCACCGGGTCTGTTTCTAGCTACCTACAGAGACAGAGAAATCGGAAGGTATACCAGATGGCTTTCCAGACCTAGGCGGTTGAACTCCTTGCACCTGCTGTGCTTTGTCCCCTGGGCACTTTGCCTTTCTTTCTTCAGTTATCTGCAGTTTTAATAATGCGGACAGTTCTCAGGAAAAGTCCCGCTTGACTCCACAGATGGTAAGGGGGAGACCCCACTGTGGGGAAGGCCAACCTTCTTGGCTGTGCCTTTCCAGACATCTCCCTGCCCCTGGGAATCACCCACACCTTGCCTTTGTCCTCTCCATATTCAGGGGTGCCTTCTTTACCACAAGCCTGGACTCAGGGCTTGGAATAAACTGGAACATTTGGGTGGCACACTTGGAGAGGAACTGAGGGCACTAGATAAAGAGGGAACATGCAAGGATACAGTCTCACTTAGAAAATGTAACTTATTCCATTCCAGTTTGTGATGACCCATAGTTTTCCCGAATGGGCCTCCAGTGGTGATTGACCAACAAGACCTACTACATGAGCCCCGCCTCCCAGTTCAGGGGGTAGAGACAAACAAACAGCCAGTACAAGTTACGGTGGTGAGTATTTTGGTGTTGTCTTAGAGCATCAGGATTCCCTGAAGACCAGATCGCTGGGTGCCTTGCAGTTTCTCATAGCACAGGTCAGGGCAGGGGCATGAGAATTTGCCTTTTTAGCAACTTTCTTGGTGATGTTGCTGCTGTTGCTTGCATCCCCAGAGTGCCAAGCTTGAAGCAAGATCAGTGTGTTGGAGGTAGTGTTCCAGATGGAGGCGGTGGGATGCAAAGGCCTGGGTGCTAGAGAACACAGTGCATTGGAAAAAGGGAATAAAAGCAAGTGCTGGCAGGAATGAAAGCTCATTGTGTGCAAGTCTCTGTGCCAAGGACTTTCCCTGTGTTAGCTCACTCCATTCTCCAACTACCCCTTCCCACGAAATGTTTGGTATTGTTGTCGACGTTTTACTTGTGAGAACACAGAAATACCAAGAGCTGCAGAATCTGGTCTAGGTTTGGTGCAGTAGGAATTTGAACCCAGAGAAGGCTGACTCCATGGACTGGGAACTTAACTGCTCTGAAAAATGACTGCAAAGGTCATCATGTGCCAGATCAAGAAGGTCTGCGTAAATCACACTGAGGGTCTGGACTGCAGCCTGGGAAAAGGGCGGCATGACAAAGTGGTAAGCGAGAAAATGACATTATTTAGACTTGCTGATTGGCAAGAGTGGAGAGGGGGCTCGACTCTGATATAAGATCAGTCATAAAACTATTGCTGTGGTTCTAGCTAAAGATGGCAGTGACCTTGGTGTATGTGAGTGTGTACATGGGAGATTGAGTAATGTGGATGAATCGGAGTGATTGCAGTAGCACCTATAGGACTTAACTGATCTTTGAGGTTGGTGTCCAGCCATCCAGCTTGAACACTTTGGCATTTGGGCAGATGGTACTGCCATCCCTGAGAATGGGACTATTGAAAGAGCAGCAGATTTGGGGTGAAAAAGATAATGAATTCATTTGGACATCAATTCCCTACATAGCTTCCAGTCTGTCTTCATATAACCCCAGGATCTCCTGAAATCCCTTTGGATACTACCTCATACCTTCCCAAAGAAGATCTAGAATTTTTAAAAAATGATTTATTTTATTTATACAAGAAACGGGGTATAGGCCAGACGCATGGGGTATAGGGTGAGAGGATTCACCAGAGACAGAGTGGGGAACAGAACAGGCAGACTGATGAAATACACTGCTAAGGGGAGCAGCGGGCGAGACAGGAGACGTCTGCCGCGCCAAGTGGGACCCTCGCTGGCTGACCAGGAGCGAACTGGTGCTGCAGAAGCTGTGGACAGCTTCACAACGCTCTACTCAACTGCCTGCACCACCAGGGAGGCCCTAGAAGAAGATCTAGAATTTCCTTTTCCTAGAAAATATCTGGCTTCTGGCAGGCGAGCGAATTCTCCCACTTAACCACCAATGCTCATAATTTCTGACTTCTGGGTGTGAGGCTGTCTTCCATTGTTGATATCCATATATTTTACTGGAGACACAGGTAAACATAAAGATAGTTGTCTTCCCCTGCTATTAGCTCATCAATCATAAGAGAATCAAACTCTAACAGTCTACTTCTCCCCACTATTAATGGGGTTTAGATTTGCTCAAATCTATTCTGTCATACTGGGTTCCTTCAGTGAATACATTCCAGATGGGCAGAACCAATATCTCATTTCCTAGTACGTTAACCACTGCTTTCTGCAGCAGTTCAACAAATCAAAGTTAATTAATTTGCAACTGTTTCCCAATCAGGTGGTTGGCAGCTGTTTCTTCCATGAGTGCTGGACTAGACAAACTGTATTCCTGACACTTTGTTCTCATCTCTTTAGCATATTTGCCCTGGCCTATGGCTCCTCCTGACATCTGGTCTAGGGCTCAGAGGTGATAGTGATGTTAGGGAGTAAATGATCAATTTCATAAAAATATTTAAAAACAAAGTGGAATCAAGAATAATTAGTTTAGTGTAGTAGTTGGTATAGAGAAATATGCTCACGGAAGGGAATAGGGAAAAGACCCCAATGAACATGTACATTTGCAGGAAATTAATTTTATGAGGAGTGTGGGCAAATTGGCAGAAAAGAGGGTGGACTATTTTAGATTCAAATAGACATTTTTCCAGTGAAAACATTCAGATGCCCAACAGGTATAGGAACAGATGTTTAGCATCACCCAGGGAAATGCAAGTTGAAATCACACTGAGATATCATGTCACACCTTTTAGAATGGCTAGCATCAAAAAAGGCAAGAAATAACAAGTACTGGTGAATATGTGGAGAATACTTACCCTCGTGCTTTGTGGGTGGAGATGTAATTGGTGTAGCTACTATGGAAAACTATGGAGGCTCCTCAAAATATTTTTTTAAAGATTTATTTATTTATTTATACAAGCATGGGTACAGTCAGAAGCGTGGGAGGATGAGAGAATTCACCAGAGCCAGAGCAGGGCACAGAACAGGCAGACTGACGAAATACACTGCTGAGGGGAGCAACAGGCGTGGCAGGAGAGGTCTGCGCACCATGTGGGACCCTTGCCAGTGGCCGTGGATGGAACTAGCACTGCAAAGGCTGCGGGCAGCTTTGCAGCCCAGCGCTCAACTGCTGCGCCACTAGGGGAGGCCCTTCTCAAAATATTTTTAAGAATAGAAATAAAGGGGTCTCCCTGATGGTGCAGGGGTTAAATTCTCAGCAGCGCTATTAAGCTATTGCCAGCCACTGTGGCATGAGTTCGATCCCCCGCCAGGGAGCTGACCCACATAGCACGGCAGACCTCTCCTGTCTCGCCCGTTGCTCCCCTCAGCAGTGTATTTCAGCAACTCTGCCTGTTCTGTTCCCCACTCTGTCTCTGGTGAATCCTCTTACCCCCCGCACCTCTGGCCTGCACCCCTTCTTATATGCATAAATAAATAAAAATAAATCTTTAAAAAATAGAAATAAAATTTTTAAGAAGTATAAATAGAAAATAATGTAAACCACTTGGAATAGATAAAATCATGAGCTTTTCTGTAATTTTAAGAAAATCAATTATTGCATTTATGTATATGCAAGTTAGAGTACATGCTTCACCTTTTATATTTTAAATTATGTATTGCATGCTGGTCCGCTTCAGTTTTTCTACCCACTCCCTTCCATTCATTCATCTTTTCCCTTTCTCTGCTGTCCATCTGGGGACAACGGAACTGCCTTGGGCTGATGGTGCCACCTAATGGTTGGTTCTTGCAGAAGCCCTCGCGTAAGGAAGTCCACAGGTTCTTGGAAAGTGCTACATTCAGAGAATAGACTAACAAAGGCAGGACCTCAAAAACGATTTTGTTCTACGTGGGCTAGGATTGTTTTACTTTTATCTTCTCAGTGTTATAGCAAAATGATGTTTTTGTAGAGCAAAATGTTACTGGAATTTCTGTTGCATATTTTGCTTTACAATTGATCTTTTCCAAGTAACTTTCTTTTTCAATTTACTCTTGTCGTTTTCGTATTTACACATGAAACGTGTACTTGAGCCTTAGCATCACAGTAAAATGCATGAATGGGTGAATATTCAGAATTTCCAGCCAGGTTTAGTGCAGGTCATGTTTTCTTCTAAGTTTTATGGTATCAGGTCTTATATGTAAGTCTTTGATCCACTTCAAGGTACGTTTTGTGAATGGTGTGAGTTAGGGGTTCAAGTATTGTGACATTATTGAGGGCTACTCCTTTTTGGCTAAAATGTACAGTGTTTAGCTAGATTCTGGTTATGCAGACTTTTGTGAGCTGGCGTGTGGCCCTAATCACCATTTATAACATTACTTCTTTGGAAAAGTGCATTGTGCTTTCAAACCACAGCCTCCTAAATGCACGTTTGGAACACAATCCATTTGTGAGTTGGGAACCCTCTGTATTAATGTCTCTTGG